GATTGAGAGTTCGAATTAAAACCCCCAAAATGGCCGACTGTTTAGGCCGTGATTTACCCAATTTCGATCAGTTTTGTGCTGAGGTCGAAGAACAAAACTTGCTCTCCTAGTTAGCTGGTCATTTTTCGACCGGTCCCGTAGTCTGAGGTGGGCAAAAGGGGGCGTTGTGTAGCTGAGAAGACGAATAGTCACTGTGCAAACAATAACTATGTCGAAGAGGAAGAGAAAGACTAGAGGAAGAGAGAGAAATAGGTTTTGTGGTGGGTCCCACAACTGTCACGTTAGCATTTAATGTCGGACCTGATGGTCAATGTAACTACCAGTGTAAATTGGTCATATTTTGAAATGTAAGGTATGAAATTGATAGAATTGAAACCTCGAGGCCTATTTCGATACTGACCCTAAACCTTCAATGACTAAAATGTAGTTAATCCATTAATATATTATGTGTATGCAAAATTAAAGGAATGTTGTAGATTTTATTTTTTGTTTGGAGGTGCAAAGTTAAAACAAATAATAATAATATAATGTACAAAAATGGGGCCCCTTGCTGTGTTAAAGGCACGCATTGACAACCCCCAAAGCTACCCGTCTGTGATGTGATTATGACTAGCATTTTTGCCTATCAAATTGCATGCTTATTTATTATTGGAAAAAAAAAAAAGGGTACGGAATTTATGTGTTTCGAATTTCTCAAAGGATAATATAGGAAAATTTATCATCATAGGTCACTAATTTGGGAAATATCCAGCTTTTTCACGACAATTCTTGAAATAATTGTCAAAACATTTCCCAAAAGTCTTTTTGTTTTTTTTTCTCGTGGATAATTGTACTTTCTCCACTGTGGTGACCATGAATAATTAAACATACGTCGAAAGCTCGCTCGTAATATTGAACATTAATTTTTTTTCTTCGTCTATTTTGGTGAAGAATATTAATATTTTTTTTTTTCATAACACCATTTTTTATGCTGGAAAGATTATCTTCAGCAATTGAGGTGGGTGGAAGAACATGGGAAGGAAGTGAAGGATTAGAAAGAGATGGTAAACGAGCATGTTCTGCTTGGACTGCACCTTGAATTAGCCATCCATCCTAATATTATTATTAACACCATATGAACTTTCAATTGATTTTCTCCATTGCTATTAAACTTTTCAAATGATGGTTGTTTAAATGGCTAATTGATATACCACTAGAGAGCAGTGGTTTTGTTTCATTTATTATTCATAAAACTACAGTTGCGCGAGTACAATTATTTTTCCATTTTTCCAATCCAAAAATGGTTTTCTCTCCATGCACCCACAGACACACAGAATTAATGACGGAATATTTGGACTACAATCCAAGTAATAACCCTTATGGAAAATGATTTTTTTTCTTTCTTGAAAAAGGCAGATTTCATTCCATTAGAAAGGAAGAATAATGGGCACGTAATGGTTTTTTCGTACATTGAATTTCGACTTTCTTGTTCAAAACAAAAAAAAAAAAAAAAAAAAAAAATTCTCCACTTTCTTTAGCGGTTGTCAAAATCACACTATAAATAGTGCCTTCACATTCTCACTTTTCCACATCCAAAAACACAAGACTTTTGATCGTAAATTAACAGATAAACATCACAAAGTTCTGATACAATGTCTACAGCTGGTCAGGTTATCAAGTGCAGAGGTAAACCCGGACCTCTAGCTCTCCTTTGTTAGATAGTTCTGCTCATTTCATTCATTTTTACAGAATCCCATTTATATTTTTTGCTTTTTTTTGTTGTTTTCATTTTTCTGATCAAGTTTTATTTTTTGTGTTTTTTGTGCTTTTACATGGTCCTGGTGATCTTTTCCTTTTTTTCTTTTCTCTTTTTGTTAAAGTGTTTTATAAATCGATTAATGATGATGATTCACTTTTGATCTGGGTTTTCTTGGATTGGATTTGATGGGGGATGCCAATTTCAGTTTGGAAAATTTCTAAACTTGACTGAACAGAAGAAAGAAACCATAATTTTTTTGGTCAATTTTCTTGGCAGGGGACTGATCTTCTAGTTCGTTAATGATATTTGATTAAATGGATGTATTGTTTACTAATTGCGTTGGCATTCGTGGATTGTAGCTGCGGTGGCATGGGAAGCGGGGAAGCCACTATCAATTGAGGAAGTGGAGGTGGCACCACCACAGAAAGAAGAAGTCCGCTTGAAGATCCTCTTCACCTCTCTTTGCCACACTGATGTCTACTTCTGGGAAGCCAAAGTAAATTTTTATTATACATGTACTGGCATTGTGTTGAACTATATCCATATCATGATGGAAAAAGAGAACGATTTGGTTATACTCTGCCTAATTGCTCACTACATTATTAAGCATGATTGAGCATCTGTTTATTATTTTGGTAACACATGTTTCCCCCCAAATGAAACAAGGGGCCTCTCCTGTACGTGGCATTTTCTTTTGGAACTGAATCATCTCTTTTATGTCACAGGGACAACACCCACTGTTCCCTCGCATTTACGGTCATGAAGCTGGAGGGTATGTTTGCTAAATTTTGAGTTTCCCTTGTAGACAGAGTATTTTTAGTTTCCTAAATTTTGCTTGCTTGGCAATTTTTTGTTTAGAATTGTGGAAAGCGTAGGTGAGGGAGTGACTGATCTCCAACCAGGAGACCATGTCCTTCCGGTGTTCACGGGGGAGTGCAAGGAGTGCAGGCACTGTAAGTCAGAGGAAAGCAACATGTGTGATCTCCTGAGGATCAATACTGACAGGGGTACTATGCTCAGTGATGGCAAGTCCAGGTTCTCCAAGGATGGAAAGCCAATATATCACTTTCTTGGTACCTCTACCTTCAGTGAATACACAGTATGTCATGTTGGTTCTGTCGCCAAGATCAACCCTGCAGCCCCTCTTGAAAAAGTTTGTGTTCTTAGTTGTGGAATATGCACAGGTTTGAAAGACTTCTCACATTTTAATGGTTACAATGTTAAATAAGATTAGTGGTTTCTTTGTTTTTGTTTTCCCTAATCAATTTCTGTTTTGTGCATTTAAAGGTTTTGGTGCCACTGTGAATGTTGCAAAACCCAAAAAGGGCTCATCTGTTGCCATTTTTGGACTGGGTGCTGTTGGTCTTGCTGTAAGTCATTCTTATGTTTTGATCCTCTTTTATGGTGCTTCCTGCTAGTTTGGATTATCATGATGATTTTTCTTGTTCATTTCCTTGTTACTTTTTAGGCTGCTGAAGGTGCAAGGGTTTCTGGGGCTGCAAGAATCATTGGAGTTGATTTGAATTCCAACCGATTTGAGGAAGGTCAGTCTTTTTTAAATATCCATCCAAGGACTTACTGTGCTTTATGTCCGGTTCAGATTAAGTTGTCATCGACTGATTTATCATGCGTTTTTGTACTCACTGGCAGCCAAGAAGTTTGGCGTGAATGAATTCGTGAATCCAAAAGATCATAACAAACCTGTGCAAGAGGTTAGTTACAGAGTTTTTTATCCCTTCACCTGTTGAGGAATTGACCCAAAGATTGCCCCTTGCCTTCGTAATATGTTTACAATACTGATCTTATTGAAGTCAAATAATGCATAACGACTTCTCCCTTGTGTACTTGATAAGCTTGTGATTATTGGTTAACAGAGACTATTGGACTTTTATGTTTGTGATTATTGGTTAGCAAAGACTTAACATTTGAATTTTGACAAAAAGGTGATTGCTGAAATGACCGATGGGGGAGTGGATAGGAGTGTTGAATGTACTGGAAGCGTCCAGGCAATGATTTCTGCATTTGAATGTGTTCATGATGTAAGCAATTATAAAAGTTGTAGGTTGTTTAATTTGATAAGATATTAGAATATGCAACCACATTGCTTTTGAGGTTTAAAACTGAACTCTCCTTCCTCTCTGAATTTAGGGTTGGGGCGTTGCTGTACTCGTTGGCGTGCCTAACAAAGATGATGCATTCAAAACCCATCCAGTGAATTTCTTGAATGAGAGGACTCTTAAGGGCACCTTCTATGGTAACTACAAACCCCGATCCGATCTGCCCGGTGTTGTGGAAATGTACATGAATAAGGTAAGTTCTTATTTCCTTTCAAGCATGTTTGTGAATAATTTTCGAACTACCAAGAACTTTGCTTATTTAAATAATGTGTTCTTAGATGGACAATTTTTAAGGTTGTGTTCTTTGACTGTTCTAGTTGTTTGAGGACAGTTTTAATTTTGAATATGATGTTGTAAAACTCTACCTTGTGTGCTGATCTTGCAGGAGCTGGAAGTGGATAAATTTATCACTCACTCGGTCCCTTTCGCTGAGATCAACAAAGCATTTGATTTGATGCTTTCAGGACAGTCCATCCGGTGCATCATTCGCATGGAGGATTAGAGCAACTTGGGACTTTTGATGTGATAATGGAGAGAATTTATATATCTATCTGATGTCTTTAAGAATAATTGTGTTGGTCTGGATTTTACAAATTTTGAGAGAAGCAACTTAAGATAGTACGAGGTTCATGACTTTTGTCTTTGATATTATGGTTTTTATGATAATAAAATTTTCTGCATATTTTCTTTAGATTTTCTCCTTTATAAGTATGTATTTCGACATGTTTTTTTCTCCCTCTACCAATCTATGGAGGAATCCGAATTTGGAGCTTTGTGCTCTGGTTATATTTAGCATTAAATGTCTGGAATCATGCCGATGTGCAAATTCTATCTCTGTTTTGGAAGAATCCTGGTTGTGCATCTTTTGAAGGATTAAAGTGAAGGCAGAGATCCAACCTCCTTGCATCCAACTTCCAAGTTCGAATCCTCCTTTCGTAGATTAGATTCATTCTAGAGTAATTTAGAATAAGTTGAATTCAAGTTGGCCAAGTTCCAAGTTCGAATCCTCTTTTCATCCAAGTTCCAAGTTTGAATTTACATATGGTTACAAACCTAATCCCCAATCACAGGGAATAATTATAGGGCTATACTAGGAAACCTAATATTACAAGTAATTACTCAAATACAAAAGTGAACATTCACCCTCAAGTTGGTGCATAGATATCACACATGCTTAACTTGTCCAAGACCTTCGAAAAAACACGACTCGATGCTGCCTCAGTAAGTATATTAGCTAACTCGTCTTCTGTCCTGATTGCGGCCACTTCAACAATTTTATCCTCCAATTTCTCCTTAATAAAGAACCTATCAACTTCAACATGTTTTCTCCAATCGTGCTGCACAAGATTCATGCAGTATTAAGCACAGCTTGATATAACACAAAATAACTTTATTGGTTGACTCGATGCAAAACCTAAATTTTGTAACAACAGTTAAAACATAGGATCTCACAAATTCTTAGTGTCATGCCTTTATATTCATCTTCTGCACTCAAACGAGCAACCGCATTATGCTTCTTACTCCTTCATGTAACAAGGTTGTGTCACACAAAAGTGAAGTAACTCGATGTAGAACGTCTATCATCAAATGACCTTACCCAATTTGCATTGGTATACCCTTCAATTCTGAGATGACCATTTTTTTGACCATTTTTTGTAAATAAATAAAAAATCATTTACATGGACTCCCCTTCAAATATCGCAATATCCTCATAACTGCCTTCATATGTTGCTTGCAAGGATCATGCATGTACTGGCTAACCACACTCAAGGTGTAGTGAAGGTTAGGCTTAGTATGAGCTAGATACTCAAATCTTTCAACAAGTCTCTGATATCGACCTTTATCAACCGATACCTGGTTCGGATCAATCTTAAGCATACATGCTAGTTTCATGCAACAAGTCTATTGTGTACTTTCTTTGTGATAGGAAAATTCATGATTTAGACCGTGACACTTCGATTCCGAGAAAGCATTTCAGGGAACCAAGGTATTTCATCTCAAATTCTTGGGACAACTAGTCTTGTAACACTTTTCCTTCTTCTGGATCATTTCTTGTCACAACCTTATCGTCAACATACACAATTAGACATGGAAGCTTACCCTGCATTTGCTTAAGAAACAAGGTGTGATATGAATTACCTTGATTGTAATTGAACTCCCTCATAGACTTTGAAAACATGTCCAACCATGCTCGTGGTGACTGCTTCAACCCATATAGGAACTTCTTCAATATGCACACTTTTTGATTGTATTTTTTTGGAACGTCACACCAATGAGGGAGATCTATGTAAACTTTTTTTGTTAGTTCTTTATGCAAAAAGGCATTCTTCACATCAAATTTTTGTAAGAGCCAATCCAAATTTGCAGCTAAGGACAACAATACTCGAATCGTGTTGATTTTAGCTACTAGCGCGAAAGTCTAAGTATAATCAATTCCATATGTTTGAGTGTAACCCTTTGCTACCAATCTTACTTTGAATCGATGAACTGTACCATTAGTCTTTTACTTTACTTTATAAACTCATGTACATCCCACATGTTTCTTGCCAGCTCGCAAATTAACTATCTCCTAGGTAGTCTTCTTTAGGGACTTCATTTCTTCGTTCATTGCTATTTGCCAACAAGGGTAAGCTAAAGCTTCCTGCACACTGTTAAAAATAGATACAGTAGATAATTGATATGCAAATGACTTATTTGATTGAAACAAATGATGGGTAGACACATAATTATTCATAGGGTTCGGGAGGCGACTTCGGGGTAGTTTAGTGTTCCAAGCATCAGTGACCGAGGACGAATGATTATGGGTATCAGAATTAGACGGACGCAGTGGCAAGTAGAAAGACAGCTATGCAGCTGTTGGCGATGGCAAAGATGAAGTGATGGTGATTGGTGACTACACAGGCTGCATCAGACTGTCATTCCCGTCTACATTTTCACATGAATAAGAATCACCACTTCTGTCCAAGTTACTAGCATTTAAAACCAAGTCATTCACATCTACATTCTCAAGTGAACGAGAATCACCACTTATGTCCAAGTTACTACCACTTAAATCCAAGTCATTCACTGTTCCTATATTGAAGAAGCTATAATAAAGAGTCTGAACTTCCTTCTAGTGCTCCCCCCGAAGTGAGGACTCCGATGAGAGAAAAAAAAACATATCATTCTCATGAAACACAACATCCATGGTGACAACATTTTCTAAGTAGGTGGGTGATAGCAACGATACTCTTTTTGATTAGATGCATAACCCACAAAAACACACTTCAAAGTACTGGGATCAAGCTTACTACGTTGATGCTTGTAAAGGTGTAAAAAAGCAACATAACAAAATACTTGAGAGGGAAGATTCGGAACGGGAGGGCATGCGGTGAGAATGGTCAATGTATGGAATTGTGTTTGGAAATTGACTGCTCAGGACGGAACACAATTGATTAAATAAGCTACAAAACGAAAGAGCTTGTCCCTAATATGATGATGGTAAATGAGCTTTAAGTACGGATGCACAGACAACCTCAGGGAGGTGCAGATTTTTCCTTTTGGCTATGCCATTATGTTGTGGGGTATAAGGACGTGTAGTTTGATGTATGATGTCATGGTGATCCAAGTATTTGCGCAATTCAGAGGTCACATATTCACCTCCATTGTTGTTGCGGAACACCTGTATCTGTGTGTTAAACTGAACATCAACCATTTTATGAAATTTTTGAAACAAAACTCACTTCCATTATCAGTGTGAACCATTTTTTATTTTTATTTTTTATGGAATTGAGTTTGAACATAGGCAAAAAAGGATTTTAATAGTGGTTGAGTTTCTGATTTGTGTCACATGAGATAAAGCCAAGTAGTACGAGAAAAATCATCAACATTTGTCAGAAAGTAACATGCTCCAGTATAGGATGGAATTTTATGCAGACCCCAAATATCACAATGAATGAGCTTGAAAACATGTTTAATGGAAATATGACTCAATTGAAAAGGTAATCTAGATTGTTTTGCCAATGGACAAATGTCACATGATTTATTCGAATGAATAGAAATATCTAAAGAGTTCTTAGCTAATAACTGAAGTCTTTGTTGAGATGGATGACCAAGACGACGGAATGGATGCCAGGGTGTGAAGATGGTAGGGAACAATCATGAGGTTTGATGAGATAGTAAGGGCCATCGCGTTATCTACCCTGACTAGTCATCGCTATCATCTCTAGGTCTTGCAATATACAAAAATTAGGGAAAAAGGTTAAGGAACAACGAAGTGATTTTGTCAATCGGCTAACAGAAATGAGATTGACCAAGAAAGAAGCAATTTGCAAAACATTGGTCAAAGAAGTTTTTGGAGCAAAATTAAAATTGCCAGTACTACTAATCGAAATCCATTCACCAGTAGGCAAAGTCACTTGTGGCTAAGATTTATTGCAAACTGATTTAGACAATGGAAGAGCAGTGATGTGGTATGTCGTCCCACTATCAATAATCCCTTCTTGCGAATGGTATGAAGGCACACCTGCTGCTGCATTAATCTGAGTTTCGGATGCATGGACCTTGCCGGCTTCAGCTGCGGAAGCTTTGCTGGACATGAACGCCAGGAGCTGCTGGTATTGTTCATTAGACAAGGTCAGCGAAGCTGCCCCTTGAGAAGCATGGACATTGTTGGCTACGACACTTCCAATGTGGGACATTTTCCACTTGCTAGATTTGTCAACTTTCCAACGTGGGATATTTTCCACTTCACATCCCAGCCCCCTTTTTTCTTTTTCTTTTTTAATGTCAGAAGAAGGATCAAAGGAGATGAACTCGAGATTCCCATGTATTGAAAGTATTAATGAATGACCCTTACAATGATTGGAGATGTTGGTATGCGCAATGTTTGAAAATAACGCAAAAAAAACAAAAACAAAAAACCTCAAATCGAGAAGAACATGAAGAATTGAACCGTTTGATTATTGTTATTTAACTCAATTAATTCCAAAACAAATGATGTCCTCGAACTCGATGTCCATAACGGAGGAGATGGTGGGGTGCTAGGGTTTGGGGAATAAGATGAGGATGAGTCTTTATTTTTAATTTTTTAATTTTCATACTGTTTTTAAGCAACTACTTAATACTATTATTTGATATTGTAATAGGTTATACTTTTAATTTTTTGTGAAATTACAAATTTACCTTTAATCTAACGGAAAACTGGATGACGTCTTTAAGAATCTTACGGTAGGTCCTTAATTCACCGAAAAAATTATTATAGGGGCTAAATTGACGATAACCAAATAATTCAAGAAACAAAACTGGTGAAAATCCTAAAAAGAATTTATAAGATACATACATCGCATCACCACAACCTCATATATTACTTATAAGTCGTGTAATATACCGATCTTGCTTCTAATTCCATAGCCTAGTATTAAATCTAAAATTCTAAATTAATTTTGAGCAATAATAATACCACTTATACAATATAAAAAAATTTCGTTAATGTTTTGCGCCCCCTCCCCCTTTTCCCAAAAAAAAGGTTAATGTTTCCTTTATATGTGCAAAAGAAAAGAAAAGAAAACTATACGAGATTGCATGCAAGTTGCAACATAGTACGGACCACGTGGGCTTTTTCCTTATGAAAAAAATCTGCTGAGCGACCAACGACAATATGCCAAGTAAAGTGAGATCTGGAAATTAATTTAGAATAATTAGGCAACTAGAATTTAAATTTCCCTGCTACCAACGACCAGTAATGCGCCAGCTGTCAATTACTCCTTCAAACACGCCCCCCAAACCAAACCACGTCACTCTTTGTTGGCTTTGAACAGACCCACAGAAAAACCTGTCATCCATTTCTGCCCTTTCTGAAAACCACTGCTCCCTTGGTTTTACAAAACCCCACACATTTTCCCTAAACTCTTTACAATGACATTATTATCCTTTACCCAATTTCTTTCCAAATTTTTTAGAAAAATAAAAAAACAATTTCATTTAACATTTCGGTTCGATGAGACGCATTTTTCTTTCTTTTCAACATTTTTTCTCGTTTTAAAAATGTGTGGCATTACAGTAATTATATCCAAGATTGAGGTCAGATACCTGATCCCAATTCTTATAAATGTAAGCCGCCCTTCACTGTGTGACTAAGAGCGAGCACCTACCTACACACTAGACACAACCCAAAAGAACAATCTCTCGAGACATGCAGGGCTCCCTCTTCCTTGACACCAAAACTCTTGCATGGCCTCCACGCGGCCACACCCAAACCTCCTCCCGCCACCTCCACCGCCTCACTCCACCAAATCCCACCATCAAATTCCGACAACCACAACCAATCTCCGCCGTCGCCACCTCACCACCGCCATCTCTAACTAGACAAAAGACCCACTCTCTGCCCCCTGAAAAAGTCGAGATGTTCAAATCGCTCGAGGGCTGGGCCTCCGAACACGTCCTCCCGTTTTTAAAGCCGGTGGACCAGTGTTGGCAGCCCAGTGCATTCCTGCCCGACCCAGCACTACCCAAAGGGGAGTTTCTGGATCGGGTTCTGGAGCTCCGGGATCGGACCAATGAGCTACCCGACGAGTATTTTGTGGTGCTCGTCGGGGACATGATCACGGAGGACGCATTGCCCACTTATCAGAGCATGATAAATGGGCTGGACGGAGTTAGGGACGAGACTGGAGCTAGCTCGAGTCCGTGGGCTCGATGGACTCGGGCCTGGACTGCTGAGGAGAATAGGCACGGGGATCTGCTCCGCACGTTTCTTTACTTGTCGGGTCGGGTGGATATGCTCAAAATCGAGAAAACCGTACAGTATCTTATTGGAGCTGGCATGGTGAGTCCAATACATATATACATACATATATATATATATATATGTATATTCCTTATTTCGAATTAATTAGCTGCATAAGCTGTTTTTTATTTGATTGGAAAAAAAAAAAGCCCATTTTTTTTATTAAATAAAAAAGCACTTTTTGGATTAAAATAAGCGTTTTTGGCTTATTTCCCATATATTTTGTTTTTATTTTGGTTCTATTTTTTTATTTTAAATATTTGTCAATTATTTAAAATTAAAACATATGCACTTTTTGCTGTTAAATGAGCCAATTTCGTGTTTTTAGAAAAAAATTAATTTTTTTTTGGGTGCCATTATATTATAAAAATAACCACTTTTGGGTTTAGTTAAGAAAAGCATGTTTTGGCTTTTTAAGAAAGTGCTTTTTTTGCTTTAAAATTACTGCAGGAGCCAGGGACGGAGAACAATCCGTACTTGGGGTTCGTGTACACGTCGTTCCAAGAGCGAGCCACGTTCATATCACACGGCAACACGGCTCGGCTGGCTAAAGATGGCGGTGATCCAGTGCTCGCGCGCATATGCGGAACCATTGCATCCGACGAGAGACGCCACGAGATGGCATACTCTAAGATCGTTGAAAAGCTCCTCGAAGTGGACCCCACGGGAGCAATGGTGGCGATTGCTGATATGATGAGGAAAAAAATCACGATGCCGGCGCACCTTATGTACGACGGGGAAGACCCCAAGCTATTCGAGCACTTCGCCGCAGTGGCTCAGCGGCTGGGCGTGTACACGGCTGATGATTACGCAGACATCTTGGAGTTTCTGATCGGACGGTGGAGGTTGGAGAAGCTGGAGGGATTGACAGCAGAGGGTGCGCGTGCACAGGAGTTCGTGTGTGGGTTAGCGCCGAGGATAAGGAAGCTTCAGGAGCGAGCGGATGAAAGAGCACGGAAGATGGGCCCGCATGCGGTCAAGTTTAGCTGGATCTTTAATAAAGAAGTCGTGCTGTAATGAAGTAATTAAGAAGTTAATTAGTAGCAATGGGAATGTAATTAGGAACTTAAATCAAGACTTTTTTGGTATGTAATTAGAGTACTTAATCTACACTGTTTTGGTGCTGCAAAACTTTCCTCTTTTTTCGGTAGTTGTAAAGAATGTGTCGTGTTTTTTCCCCGCCTGGGAGACAACAATTTTCTTCATTTTGATTTAAAGTTTTATACTTTCTTCATTTTGCAGGAGGATGGCAAAAGGACGATGTCAACACAAAAACCATCAGAAAATAAGTTTTTTTTTAAATGTATCAAGATGTGATTTTTTTCCCGTCAATAAACATCCCAAGTTCTACAATTATGATAATGAGTTGGTTGATAAAGTTGTACAATTATGATAATGAGTTAGTCAATTATGATAATGAGTCAGTTGATAAAGTTGTACAATTATGATAATGAGTTAGTTGATAATAAAAGTTAGTTGATGTAATCTTGTCTTATAGATTTTGGCAAAAACAAAACCAAAAAAAAATCTTATCATATGTATAACTTAGTCAGATTATTTTTATAATTTTTTTTATTAAATAGTATAGCCGCACGTAGTATCACTTTGCTTGTTTTTTTTTTTTTTTTTTTTTTTTTTTTTTTTAATAGTATAGCAGCGCGGCTATACACCTTTTTTCATAACTTTTTAAATAGTCTAGCTGCGCGGCTATACTCAGCTTGTTATTTTTATTTAAAAATAGTATAGCCGCACGGCTTTACACGGTTTTTTTTTAACCGACTATACTTGGTTTTTTCTTTTTCTTTTTCTTTTTTTTTTTATAAAAAGTATAGCTGCGAGGCTTGACTCGGCTCTTTATTTTTTCTCATGTAAAAGAAAGAGTATATCCGCGCGGCTATACTCGGTTTTTGGTGTTCACATTCATAGCATCACCCAATTTCCATATCTAGTGTTGAGATTCATGACACCCAAACTTCTAAGTAGGTTGGCGTACGTAGTGGATATCTCCAATCACTTACTTCAAGGTCATGGCTCAATTCTTGTCTTCAGCTTCTTGTAAGAGCAACCAGGAGAGGTACTTAGACTCCTGGCCCAATTGGTATGGTGGAGTCACCCTTTTTCATACGAAGCATTTCTAGAATGGGGTACTTCCTCTTACAGCCGCCCCTTGGCCTTAGGAATTGCTCATCAGCCTCTTCAAAATCCCCCGCAATTCAAAGCAATAGTGTCCCACATATGAACTCATAATGTGGCATTGCCTGGAAAGATGCTTATCCCAAAATCCAACATATGAGGGTATTGAATGATCTAAGAATAATACTCACATATGCATACGCATGACGTCCAGTCTTCTCATGCTCTCATGCCACAACCTGAAAAGCTACAGACAAAGGGTTTATGTTCAAGGTGTACTGCCTTGACATGTTGATGGAGATTTGATTTCTGCAAACGTATAAGCAAAATCAGAAAAGGAAACAATAAAAATCTAACAATGGCAATGCAAAGAATTAAAAACTATTTTTTTTTTCTTTCCAGAATGACTCCTATTTGTACTAGTTTTCGAGTATTTGAGTGATGATAAGGGATCTCACTGAATTAAAGGAACCATTTTAGTAGATTAGTTGTGCTGTTATTTGTAAGAACTTAATGAGAACTTCTCCCGTGAACTATTTGGTATAATGTTCTTGTGTACGTCATGGTTTTATGTTTTTTTCTTTCGCAATGTTGGAAATGTAGACGCATAATTGCCTTTTACTGTATTGTTGTTATGAATAAAACAATGGAATTTGAGTTAACATATGTCATTATCTTTCGTCTGTGTGAGAAAGAAAATACTTGTCTTAAAACAGAAGAAAAGAGAAATTGATGATACACTGGGCCTGCTCAAGTTTTCTGTCTTCTACATTGGGCTATAAAGTATCCTAGTGTCATAAACACAAGCAAATAGCAATAGAAATGAAGAAGGTAAAAACAGAGCAAAAACAGGGGAGAGGATACTGCTCTCAGCACTAGCTTTTCTATTTATATAAAAAGACATGTACATATTAATAACAACACTAGGACTTAATTTGAACAACTTGTGCACTAATTCATCAAAATTCATGAAATGTAAAAAAAGAAAAAGAAATTACGCTTATTTAGAATCAAGGTTTCAATGATGGAGTCAATTGCAAGAGACAACGCTTATTAAGTAGGAAGTAAATTTTTACGGATTGGCTATGATATGTGCTTTATGACAAATGAAAATTGCAGAAGTGGAGCTTTAGAAGGAACTATACAAACAAAAGACCGTAGAAACAATTTTCGGGAAAAAGATGTAAAGAATGTACCACAATTTGCACTGATGGGTGCTTTGGCTTTAGATTTGCGACGACCACCATGAGGAGGGTGAGGAGAAGGCAGAAAAGTCGAAATCTTAATGAAAACAAAGATACCTTGATATCGGCATCAGAAGTCAAATGATTGGTAGGATAGCCTCTATAGCCTCTTTTTTTTTTTTTTTTTTTTTTTTTTTTTTTTTTTTTTTTAATTAACATATAGCCGCGCGGCTAGACTATTTTTTAATTTTAAAAAAAGGCCCGGTTAGGTTCTAGGCACTAGGCGGGTCCTGCTTTTTCTTTAAATAAATAGTATCGCCGCGCGGCTGTACTTCGGGTTTTTAAAGTCTTTTAAATAAATAGTATAGCCGCGGTACTTCAGTTATTTTCTAATTTTACTAATAAATAGTATAGCCGCGCGGCCGTACTTGGGGTTTTTTTTATAAACTTTTTTTATTTCATAGGCCTCGGGTTAGTAAGGGCATCTTTTACCCTCGCAGGAATCAGGATACGGTAGCTGAGATTGCTATGAAATGGACTAAAGTTCTGAGAACTGGAGCTCTTGAGGTGAGATTCATGGGTGTTGATCTAAACACAATCATGTTCAACATGGAACGAGGCCAAGACACGACAGAGGTATGTTTCTTTCACCCCCACTTTGTGTCTTTTAGCCTCCAGATCAAAGAGAATGAGATTCCTCTGTGTCTTGCTGGAGAAATTGCTCCATGATTGTAGATGTCTTTCGTTTCTTAAGAATGCTATTCACAACAAAGAGAAAAGATTGAAGTCTTCAGCTTTTGCACGAGCTTCTGCTTTCTTTTGTTCTTATGATGTTTTATCCCTTTCTTTCCCTCTTGTCTCTCCAGTTGAAGGAGTTTGCGTTGAACCAACCCGAGGCCTATGAAATAAAGATTGGCGATCAAGTTTTTCGAAGACCTGGAGATCCTCCTTTGGAGGAAGTTGTTGAGAAGCTCCAGAAGGAGAAAAAGAGAGTGGAGAATGACAGTCCAGCAGAGAGCAATAGGCATTTAAAAGAGGAACTGTAGCTATACTTGTAAGTTTTCTGACATGCAATATAATGACCATTTCCATCGAACTTCAACAACCACCCAGCACGTGACCACCACCCAACCCAGCCCCAGTGGAGTCAACCCCCTATCCTCCACAACCACAACCCAACCCCAGCATCAACCTCTCCACCTCCGACGACCATGAAATGAACTCAGAAGAGGCCCACGACCGGCCCCTCATGCTCTTAGCCTCTCGCTCCGTCAATCCCCGTGACCACCGTCCTCACAACCCTTCTTCTTCATCCTCCTCCTCCTCCTCCGCCCCAAACGACGTCGTCAATCTCCCCGTCTGATGAGGGACAGACACATCAGCATCACTTGATGGGATCGGGAATTTGGGTTTTTGTTCTCTCTAGGTTGCTTATATTCTTCTTTTAAATTTGGGTTCATTCTCAAATTCACTTTTAAATTTTGCTCTTTTGTGCTTTTTGTTTGGAATTATTGGGTGGGAGTTTGTGTTTATGTTAATGGTAGTTGAGTTGACTGTTGACTGGTGTGCATTGTTTGTTGAACTATTGGGTATCTTCTGAAACAGAGGTTTTTGAAAGTGAGATAGAAATTTTGGGGCTTACTATCTGTGGGTTTGTTTGGGTGAACATTATCGGAGATTGAGCAGGAAGATTTTGGGTTTTGGATTTCCATTCAATGTGTCATCTTTTCAGGTCGTGAAAGTCGAAAATGATTCGGGAAAATTGGGATTTGTTATTTGTGTATTGATTATATGCTTTTTACTGGTGAATGGTTGGTTACATGGATTTGATGTGAATCGGGAAAATTGGGATTGGGTCGTGGGGGAATAGCGGGTTGACGCCACTGTTGATCATGTGCTGGGTTGGCTGTTGAAGTTCGACGGGTGGATGCTGTGATTTTATTTTTTCACTTCAATTTCTTTTGTCAAACATGTATTTTAATATTTTTTAATTTTTTAAATTAAAAAAAAAAAACTGAAGAGAGTTAACATAGTTAAATTATTGTTAAGTTGTCACAAAACTATAAGAAGGAAACAAGGGGAACATGGGATTTAGTAACACGGAAATTGAACTCGTATTTTCTAATTTTTCTAAAAAGAAAACGTATAGCCGGGCGGCTATGCTCCATTTTTCATTTTTAAAAAAATAGTAGAGCCGAGCGGCTAGATTCCTTTTTATTTTTTAAAAATAGCTGAAATCGGTTTTTAATTGTTTTTAAAATAGTATAGCCGCACGGCTTTACACGGCCATTTTTTAAAAAAATAGTATAGCCGCGCGGCTATAGTCGGTTTTCTATTTTTTTAATAGATATACCCTGGCCTCGCCTCTGGCTTTTCTGCTCTTTTTTTTTTTTTTTTTTTTTTTTTTTTTTTTTTTTTTTTTTTAAATTTTAATATATTATATCCGAGCGGTGATACTTTTTACACACACACACACACACACACATATATATATATATACTGGGATCCTCTTTTTCTTTTATATTTTTTCCTCGATTTTCATTTATCAATAAGAGTAGAGCATTATCCATTACTATTAGGCTATTACCCGAGTCTTTATTGTCCCATTTTGATTTTTTACTTTTCTAGAGTTATTATCCGTATAAAGAATTTAGCAATTTAACGTTTGATACTATATTATACACGTACGTATCTATATTTCAATAATACATCCGTGTTTTGTACATGTCTGAAAGACTCGGTAAAATTCAAGTTTTTTAAAAAGTGAACGTACAATACTCGCATTGAACATGTACATATTTTATTCGGATGTTGTTTATGAATCAGTCATGGGCTATTGTTCAGCTCAGTGCCTTGGTGTGTTCCGAGGTTGTCTGCGTTTGTGCTACTTGGACGTAGACACCAATACTCTGTTTGTTTGGGAGTTGAAAGGAGAAAAAGAAGATCATTGTGATGTGTTGGTGGTCGATGGAGCTGCCAAATTGTGCTTCAAACACAAGAAGACGATTTATCCGCTGGACCAAATGTTTTGGGATCACGATGGTCTGGTGTTGGAGCTGCTAGCTTTTGACCCGAATAATGAGAATTGCTTGTATCTGAATATCGGCGGAGATATAATCAGCTGCAACATAATTACAAGAAAGTGGTCCAAGGTAGCTTCATTGGAGAGTGGGATTAATGTTAATAGTTACTTCTACCCATTTGTGCTCCCATGGTGGCCGACACCAGTTCCTAGACTACCACAGCCCATAGCTTAGTATTGAGGAAGAAGACTACTTAACTTTTTTATTTAGTAAAGTTTGGATTTTATACATCATGTATGCTCAGCACTGCAGTTGTATCTTCCGGAATATGACTTAATTATTTGTTTTCATTTCTTCATTGTTTGGGAGTTGCCGGTGCGAATCCCCTATCTTCCTTTCTGCTCTCCGAATCCTTGCCTGATCTCCTTTCTTGCCTTAAGCGTGGAGACCCGTTGGGCAAGTGAGGAGAGGCTGTGCTGCGTTAGGTTGGGAGAGTGTTCCCCTTCCTATGTAATTTGGACAATACAATGACACTATAGTAATTGAATAACAAAGAACAACAAAATCAGTGTAAGAAAGTAAGTTTAAGGCATTGTACTGCCCCCTTCACCCCAATTTTATCCCACACTCTGTACATTAGATTAATTTGAATATCGCTATGGTTAAAATTAAAGAAAAAGAAAACCTTGTTTCTAATAAACTAATGACATGGACATGCGTCAGACATAGTATATCAACTATTTTTATTTTTCATTTGCAAATATGTTGTGATAGATTTTGTGTTTTTATTACAGAACACGTACATCGTTACAATTTGAAGAAATATGCAACGCGTACATCGGAGGGTCACATATTGTACAAAAGAGAGCATTTTCGACCTAGTTTAGGTGATGAGTTAGTCCTCATTCATGCGTGTGAAAGGGGATGTCTCACTCATGGGAAATCAACAACATGAAAAACTTGATTTGAGAGGAGTTAACTCAAACTGTAGTGTTGTAGCAAAAAATCAAGCAGGATCGCAACTGTGATGGTAAGTTAGTTGTAAATCATACCAACATAAGCCACTATTGGTCCATTCTTGAGATGTTATCTTAGCCTATATGTTATAATCCTTGAAAAGACCTTCCTTATTTTTCAAATATTCTTCCACTTGGTGTGCATGACAAGGAATTCCCCTGAAATCTTCCACATCACATATTTTGACCAAGATAGATAGAGGCGCATATTTTGGCACAAACAAACATAACTCTCCTTTCATTTCAATTAAGAACATTACACAACGCATTAGACATATCCAGAGAATTTTACTGATCCATCTTATTAGAAAAGAATTTATATATCACTTTTCAGTGATGAATCTTTATTAATTACATGCAATTAATCTTGACTTCGCGCCAATGTGCACACAAGACTATGATGAACCCTTGTGTGCAAGATGTTATTGGCCAATATCTGAACTCGTTGAAGGCTCATCTTTCGGTGCCACTACATTGGCAGCATGCAAACCTTTACCAACTCTCTCATTCTTCCTCACCACTTCGTCTATATGAACATCATCATCAATTGTTAACACCACAGCTTTTGATCCATTGGGACCCCCTACTATGTCTTCCTTGACCTTTTTATGTTCATCGAAGTTAATGATCTCAGTTTCTGCTTGGACATCTGAGCTCTTTACTTTTCCATGCAAACCCTTGTGGCCAAATGTCTCATTCTTCCTTATCTCCTCGTCTATATGGACATCATCTTCAACTGATAATACCACAGCTTGTGGTCCATAGGGACCTTCTACGATTTTCTCCTTGATCTTCCTGTGTTTGTCAATATGAATCATGTCGGTTTCTTGGATTGTCTTCTTCTTTCTTCTCTTAATGCAACAAAGTAGAGCAAATGCAAGGAATGCAAGGAAGAAAACTGAACCCAATGAGATGAACACAATGATTATGACGGTGGGATTATTGTCCGGGGATGGTGAGGGTGGCAGTGGTGGTGGTGGAGGGCGTACATGAGGCGGCGGCGGCGGACGGAATGGGTGGTGTGGTGATGGTGATGGGGTTGAGTGGCTTGGAGGCTTTGCAGCGGGGTGTGGTGGTGGTGTGGTTGAGTGACTTGGAGGCTTTGCCGCCGGGGCTGCTGCTGGTGGCGGGGTTGAGTAGCTTGGAGCGGATGGAGGAGGTGGTGAGGGTGGAGGGAAATACGGGAAGTAGAATTTATTTGGATTGGCCGCCATCTTATAAGATTGTGAAGTTTTGAATGTTTGAGATGAGAAATGAGAATTGGATTGTTGTGGAGAAAGCGGTGGATATGAATGGCTATTTGTATGGCAAAGCGTTTATGCCAAACAGTTCATATACAAAAAGTTTATAATATTTTATGACTTGACTCTCATTCTAAGATTTGGGAAAGGGTTTGTTTGCATTGGAAAACACTTCTCAAAGTCCATTGGTTTCTTCTTTGACGATAATTTTAATTCCTTCAACAACATGAATGAGTTCGTATATATGTTTTATTGTGATAGGATATACCATAACACGTGTTTTAAATTAAAACATTGCAACATGAAGGACAAATCTTGTTCCGGTGTACGGGTATTTTTTCAAATTTTCAACTTTACTTGTACGTTTTCTCTTTCATATGTGTTTCTTTATTCAAGTGTGATATTGAAAAAGAAGCATACGAATCGCCATGTTCAATCACACTGACAAGGATTTCTAGCTGGTATTCCAAATATTTTCCTATACTCAATTTAATACTTAATGCTCGTTTGGGAGTGATTCTAGATAGGTTAGAATCACTTATGGGGAGAACCACCTCCCATGTGCTTCTCCATATAATCACTTTTAAGTCATTTTAGCAGAAGCACTTCTCATGTGCTACTCTATAAAATCATTTAAAACTAATTAAAGTGATTATTTGAAGAAGTGATTCTCTATAGAGGTGCTTTTTAGCTTATCCAAAACAAGCTCTTAGACTTGACTGGACTACTTTGTTTGGTTTACAAATTTGAATATTTATTTTCGTTAAAGATGGAAGATGGGAAGAGAGAGACTGGAAGACCATTACCATACGCTAACATGACTTCATAGACCTCATGATGAATATGGTAAGTCAGTTTGTGTATTACTTGGATTAGTGGCAAGCAGATATATCTATATGCGTCAATTCATATTTGACGTCTTACAATTTAGGCCATATTATTGTCGGGTGGCCATTTTCTTTGCTCAATTAATACTCTTATTCTTATTTATGAAAGTTACTTTCTGACCAATCATAAGTCATGATGGCATGATCGCTACCTCTTAACTTTACAATTTTATTTTTCATTTATTTAATTGTACGTATTATGCTATAAGAAGGGGGAATCAAACCTGAAACCTCGTAGGCAGGGATAATACTCTTAACCATTTGAATTAATAATGCACCACTTTCTGCCTATCCCCAGTAACCATAAAGAGAGTCAAAACATGCTCTACTAGTTGATATTCCGCATAATTATCAAGAGTGCAAAAAATCAAATAAAATGTTTAATAGGTCCCTTAATTGCTAAGCAGCATCATGTTGAAGTTCAGTTAAAAGTTCTAAGCATGCTGCATTCTTTCCCTTGGGGCTTGGTACAACTGCAAATACACTGCTGGCACAGCAACAATTTAAATGAAACAAGAAAGCTGATCTACCGAGCGAACGGCTAGCAGACCGATTCAGAAGTCCCTGCGACTTGCCTTAATCACCAAACGGGAATTGATTTTCGGCTGATGTATAGAAACATGTATTTCAATTTAAAGTAATGCTTTCACAAATGGACTGTATAAGAACTTGTTTTCATACAAATTACAACTTGTAATCCTAACTACACACTACACCTCGTGAACAATTATATTACAGCAAAGCAGCTTCATCTCAACTGCCAGTAGAGAAACAATTGTACAACAAATGATAAATGTGTAGACTAATTTTCTGAACCGTCAAGTTCAGATTATGAAGCCAGGATATCTCTTATTCCTTCATGCATTTTCTGAAAAACAGGGTGAAACTAGAGGTACTCGTTGATGCAAGCAGCAAAAAAGGAAGCATAATCGCAAAAACCCGTCATTGAAGGGAAACATCATTCCCGGGTAGCAGATATGACAAGAGAATTTCATTCCACATATCAGGTACACCAGGTAGGCACCAATGGCTACAATCAGGAACTGACGGATTATCGCTCCAAGTACCCACATGGCCATCACTCCGGAATGCTACCATGGGTGTAACATGCAGAACAGTTACAGGGACGGTCATTTTCCTCACAATCTTTATAATGATGTTTGAAATTGAGCTTTGATCCCTTCCCTTAGAGCTTGACAAAGGATGTTGAGTCACTTTGCATGAATTATGGTTACGGCCACTGGTACATATAAGAATCACTAGCAGTCAAGTTTTGCACGAGTATGTTTGTATTGAGGAACAACGATGAAAATTAAACATATACCTCAATTTACAAGATTTAGCTTCCATAAAGCAGAAAATAGGACAAATTTATAGATAACAGGTTAGATTGCTTCAAATCAGTGAATAACAGTGTATTTACATGATTAACCATTGAGTAGAGTAATTTGAGGCCATAAAGACTTGGAAATTCTTGTTGATCCCAGACTAACCCAAAATAAATCAGAAAGAACAAAATAATCCATGCAACTATTTACTTGGCTACTTAGTCTTTCTAAGTTCCCTGAGGATTTTCAGAAAAACTGTAATTTTATGATATAGAACCCCGTTAGAAAACACCTAAAGAGGAGCAACATGGACGGAGATGTTATATTCAGAAGGCTCAATAAATAACAAAGCAACATGGAAGATAAAAAGCGCATAAAGGTGTAGAATGCTCTAATGGGATCAAAAGCGCCCAAAAGAAAAAAAGAATATTCATGATAACATAAGTGTAAACCAACTACAAGTCAAATAAATTGCCAACGACAGTATAGTCGTTAGAACTAGATGCAATCAAAGTCCAGCAGCCTTAAGAAGCTAAAACCAGAAAGTTGGCAGAAAGTATCATAACTAACTTTATAACGCACCTCCAATGGGATGTCTCAAAACTCCTGAAAAATACACTTGTTCTGTTTGTATTGATCATTGTCTCGGCCCAAGATGCCCAAGTGTTTAAAGCTGTCTTGAAGGCAGTGGTGATTGGCATTCCAAGCTTCAGTGATTTACCCTCTTGAAAATAGCAGCCCCTGTCTGGAGAAATGTTAGACTTGCTTTGTTTTCTATATTTTATTTTTGGTCTCTGTGTGTGTCTGGAGTATTTGTTGAAACAAAAGTGCTACAAGCACTCTCAAATGTATTTTGGGAATCTCTTCATAACAAAAGCTAAATCTGAACAAACTTATGGAAATCTGATTGAGACCCAATGGTATGTTGAAAAAACATAATCATTCATACAAAAAATAAAAAAATAAAAAAATTGGAAAGAACAATACATTTGCAAAGAAAATCCCGAACACATGAGTAGGTGAGGGAGAGGGAGAGAGAGAGAGACCCGCCAACATAGCACTAAGAAGTTGAGTATGGAAAATAGCAAAGGGTCTGAAGTACAATGTTAAAATAACCTTCATTTATGCATTTCTATCCAGCATTTATCTCCAAAAATGTCTTTGAATTATAATTCAAAGCACCACCCCTTAGCTGTTGAAATTTTTTCAATTTCTTTTTTGCCTTTACTTGTAAATGAAATTTACTAGCTCATTTACAAGTATCATATAAAGCATACACATCATCTACAATTTATACAAGAATCATAACAGCTATAGAATTTGCATCACCAACAAACTTCAACCAAGACTTTGGCCACATCAGTACTAAGGGAAATTCTACCTCTCCTGGAAAAGTTAACCTTATTAAAGGGCACAAACATGCAGAAGGCCTTCAAATCTTTTTATTAATAATAACTACCATGCATAGGCCTTGAAAACATCCTCTCTTTTAGGAAACGATGAATATGTTGGACTCCACTGCATGCACTAATCAACATCTATAACAAGAAACGTGGAGTATGAATGCTTGATGCACAAGCAGTTAACAGCGCAGATTCTCGGAACTGAATGTTGGAGGGGTGAGGGATTACCAAAAATATATAACCTAAAGGTGTCTAAGTAAAAAACCCTCTCTCTTAGGTAAGATAAAAAGTTGAAATCCAGTACATGCATTATATTTTGTGCATTTATCAACATCTATACCAAGAAGCATGGAGCATGAAAGCATGGCACAAGCAGTTAATGGTGACGATTATGGAACTGAATGTAGGGGATTTAAAAAAAAATGAATCACATAAATATAGAATCATAAACCAACTTTGTAAACTTTGTTAACATAAAAAAGCATCCTACAAAAATAACTGAAAGGTAGACTAAATATATACACCAAATACAGGATTTATGAAAGACAATGATCAGCAGACTAGGTAACTCACATTTCAAAAAGTTTACTTGGTGTCCACCAGTGCCCTGAATTGAAAATCAAAATATCAGAATCAATCCATTCTTTGCTAATTTCATCCAATTTGTCAACTCTGAGCGTTGACTTAACCCTCTTTGGTGCTCGGTTTGGAGCTGAAGCTGGCTGCACTAGGAAAACTGACCGATAAAAGTCAATTCTGAGATCAAACGAACTAAACCGTACGGCTAAAAATCTAATCCGCTTAGTGATTTTATTCCCATTCACTTCATAAACACTCTTCTTATCCTCCACCCCTGTCATGAGTAAACATATCAAAGATTCCCACTGTGTTCTACCTAAAGAGTCACCAACAAAAACAATCCGTTTCCCACGAAGTGTTTCAAGAACTGCACGCACATCAAATCTAGGAATATCACAATTCCTTGGCTTCCACCTCCATTTAGCATAACCCTTATCTTTCCGCCCATTAGCCAAGCAATTAAATCCACTTTCTGCAAATGGACATTGTGAGGCATTGTACAAAGGGTAACTTTCATCTGGAATCCATCTTCCTTCAAAAACATTACATTTTCAACAGAAGTAGAGGAATTAGAAATTCCATAGCTATGAACCACTGGGGGAACCCTGGGAAACAAATACAAAAATGCACATGACATGGCAACAACAAAGGACACCAATGAGCCAATTGCAACTAGTCCATTGAAAGTTTGAAAACCCCAGATTTTACCATGACCCCTCATTATCTCATTACCAAAATTCAAAACCCTTTTGTAGAAAATCCTGAATTGAACAAACAAGTCCAAATTAACGTTTCTCACTATCTCCATCATTTAGCAAACAAACCCAGATGAAGAAGAATCCCAACTGAAATCATATATGAGACATAAAAGATTAGGCAACCCAGAAGCAACAAATTTATGTATTAATAAACCATCAATAGAGTATGAAAATTGAGCCAAGACTTGGAACTGCCTACTAACCAATACAAGATCAGCTACATCACAGACCAAGAACAAAAATTGCTAACTTGAAGAAGACCCATCAAGCAGAGAGCCCAAAACAGGCAAAAGAGCAAAGTAAACAGCAAGCTTACAGATTCACCAACTGGGTTTTGCGAGAAAGCACTTGGTTGTGGTTTTGACTGGTTCTGCTAGAAGAGAAGAGAAGAGAAGTTGGTTGGTGGAGGAGCAAATGGGAAATAAAGGTGAAGGATGATGGCATTTTTGGTTAACTTAGAACCTGGTTCAGGTTGGTCCGAGTGAACATGACCCCTCAACCGAAATCTTCAAATGTTGAAAATTGTTCTGTTATTTGCAAAGTGACTCTTGTCGGTGGGTTCTTAACCAAAAGACAGTGCTCAGTGGGCTTGAACACGTGGGATAACTCCATTGGGTGCGCTGGGCCGGACTCGTGAGCGCTCTCGTCTTTTGGACTGTACTTGACGGAGACCTTGTCTTTGTTCCGTTTATTTTATTTACAAGCAAATGATAAATAATTTATTTAAAAAAAATACTATTTCTTTCTAGCAATTGTGGATTTTAAGGTCCGTCGAATTTCTAATTTTACTATTTATTTGAAGTTGTTTCATTAATAAATAAATAAATTGAGTTCACAACTTACCCCATTAAATCATCTATGTATAAAAATAATAATTTTATTCATCAAAAAACAACTGAATCATAGCATTAGAGAACATAAATCCACAAACGATTCTAACATCAAGAGGAAAACTACCACTGATAAAATAACGAGGTTCTAAGTTAAAGTCCTTTATTCCTCATTGGGGTGTCAAAGACAAGTCAGGGAATTCTGGGGAGGGAATTTATTTTTTTTGGGGGGGTCAAAGACAAGTCAGGGAATTAACCCTCTTGTGATTCCTTTCCTTTTTCTTTTTTTTTCTTTTCTAATTGTGTTCTAGTCACTATTATTTTGTTAAGCTCTCTTCCGAATTTCTAATCATAGTAGACTCAAAATGCTCCCATTTGGCCTCTGGTGACTCCCCACCTGATGTGGAAGAAATAAAAGAACCATTTGTATAAAACCAGTCAACCCGTTTTCGTTGTTTCCGAGAAGGAATGCAGGAAATCCTAACAACATAGGTAACAAGTCCTAATTACGATAGGATTATATCCAAAAAGGAGTAAATACAACCTTGAGTAAAAAAGGATACTAAAATTACCTGATCGGAGAGGGAAAAGATCTCTATATAAACCCCAAAACTCAATGTAAGAAGTCCGTATGCAGACAGGTAAAGCAAAAATTAGTTGTATTAGATTTATTTTTATTTAAAAAAAGCATGAGCAACACACCAACATCAAATTGTGAGAAGTGCAGCAAACATGCAAGCTGGGTGTAGCACCACGTGATGACGTGACTAATCCACTCATTTTGTAATACGCGTATTTATTTATCTATATGATATACGCTCCATAACATATGAACTTTGTGTTACACGTGCAACTATATTATATCCTAGAAGTTCATTTAACATGGTATCAACTAACAAAAATGCAGATTGGACTTATATTTTAATGAATGAAGCACTGTTTGGTGAACAAAGTTTAGTACTATGTATTGTCCTGCTAAACATATATAGAGTTATGGTTTTGATATTTTTACTTGAAGCTCAGACTCTAACAACTTGAGTATAACTCCTCCTATAATAATCCCTCTCATTCCATCTCTATCAATACTAAGACTAGTGATGAGACTTCCGTTAGTGGGAGAATGAAGGGATGATTCTGTTTTCTCCATGGGTGAGAGACTGAAGAGAGGGCAATGCACAAGGCTTAATCTAGCAACGAAAATTGAGAGAGTGATTAATTTGAAGTTTCAAGAATCTCGAAAGGAAAGCTTCGCAGTTCATGGGATTAACCTTCTTGTGGGGTTTATATGGAGATCTTTCCCTTTTCCCATCAGGTAATTTTAGCTTCTATTTTTTATTCCAGGTTGTATTTACTTTGCTTTTTGGATAGTCCTATTGTAATTAGTACTTCTTTCCTTTGTTGTTAGAATTTCCTGAATTCATAAGTACAAGAATAAGTTTATGTTCATAGTGATCACATAAATCTTCCTACACGTGCATGAGTTTCTGTTTTGTAAATAGTATTGCATTCTTTCTTGTACGTAGAAGGACTCATGAAATCATGTATATCCATAATTCTTTGAAAAAATATAAAGCACAAAATAAAACAAAAAAATTTAAGAAAATCAATCCACACCCAAACCCCAACTAGGTAGCCACAACTCAATCCCCTCCCATTATTTGATATGCCTCTACCCAACCCACCCCCACCATCAGCCTCCATATTCGACATAAACCCAACCCATGTAAAATTCCAGTGCAACGATGTCCGAAAAGACCTAGAGCTGCGGGGAGGGTTGGCACATAATATTGTTAACAGTAAATTGGATGGAATGTGAGCAAAATTAACGGCAGGGAGAAATTGGCTGAAAAAATTATTCAGATCCTTTTCCCAAAAACAGGTTAGGGGCAAATTGAAAGTATGCTACAAGTTCAGGGGCCATTTCACCAGTTTAGCCACAAAAATAAAAAGGAATGGAAGGACAAATGATGTAGAAATTTGTAAATTAAGAAACAGTTCGCAAAAACAGAAGTAAAACTTCTGTAAATAGAAAAATAAATGGGGTGGAAATTAATTGTCTTCATTTTTTGGCAACCAATCACTTGTAAAAACCCAAACCATTTCATTTCATGTCCTACCCAAGCCCACACCATTTGTAGCAGACCACCATTGAACTCATAGATTGATGGGGTGGATGAGAACAAATTCATACCTGGCCATACTTTTTAGACCTTAGATTTCTCAAATAAGAAACAATTTCTCTAGATCCGAAAGATTCAACATAAATATGGGCTGCCAAATTCACAATAATGAGCTTGGTTCCAAGTAAAGTAGAAGAGAAAAGGGAAGAAACAAAAAAAAAGTTTGGAAGCTACTTGCTTAGAAGGTAGAGGCATCCCCATTCCCCACAAGTATAATCTGAATTTGTAGTATGGTGCATGAGCATCCCACTCCAGCAGCAAATATCTTTAAAAGTCACCTCCATAAATAGAGAAACATTCTGGACCTGAACACAAAGGTAATAGTCAAATATTAATTTGTGTTCAAGAGCCTCAATGTCAATAATACAATGCTGGGCTTTCTTAAAACTACCAACCTCAAGAATAATTTTCTTTCTGGATATAAAAAAGCATTCAGAATAAAAAGCAACCTTTCTACAAACTATCAATCTTGCTTCACTTTCCAAGATCACATAGGGAAGTCCCGAGCAGAGTTGCAAAATACTAATGGGATAGTAATTCTGGTTTTACTTTGCAAATCTTGCTGAGAGAGAGGCCTTTGGATGTAGCATGGATACTAATAACACTATGACTTGGCCTCAATAGTCAACACCATAGGTACTTCACTCTTCTTCATCCAAGAAAGAATATGTGTCATCAACGTAGCCCTCTTCTTTCATGATTGCTGTCAAATACTTTAAAGTTGCAATGATTTCACCAGCATTTGGATGAGACTTATCACCTGCAACAAACAAATTTGTTCTTTGTCCCACCACAATCCAACTACATCCGGGAACCTTTGTCACTCCTTTTTCTTTCATCGCTCTCCTCAAAGAGCTAGCCTCATTCCAGTTTCCTGATGCAGCATGTATGTTAGAAAGCAAGACATATGGTGAAGAATTTTGCGGTTCTAACTGAATTAGTTTCTCAGCCGCACGTTGTCCCCTTATGTCATCTCCATGTAATCTGCAAGCACCAAGTAATGTAGCCCAAATCATAGCATTTGGATCAAAACCTAGTCTGTCAATAAATTCCTCTGCTTCTTTAAGGAATCCCCATCGGCCTAGAAGATCAACCATGCAGGCAACATGATCAAACCTGGGTTGGATATTATACTCTTTAACCATAGAATCATATATCTGACGGCCTTCAGTTACCTTCCCTGCATGACTACATGCAGTGAGAACACCGAGGAATGTGATGTCGTCGGGCAAAACATGAGATTGTCTCATCTCATCAAAGATCTTCAATGCACATTCTGCATAACCATTTTTAGCAAATCCAACTATCATTGAGTTCCAAGAAATGACACCATTTTTAGCACCCATTTCTTCAAAAACTTTCACAGAACTTCTCACATCCCCACATTTAGCATACATGTCTACGAGGGCACTACATGTTAACTCATCCAGATCAAAACCGGTATGAAAAATGAGGGAATGGATCTCTCTACCATTTTTCAAAGAAGACATGACAGCACATGCTCGAAGAACACTAGCAAATGTTGCTTGGTCGGGTAGGGCATTATCACTACGCATTTCTTGATACAACTGTAGCGCTTCATCGCTGCAATCATTTTGACTGAGTCCTGAAATCATAGCGGTCCATAATACTTTGCTTTTTGGCTTTGGGAACTCTGAGAAAAGAACGGTTGCATCTATTTTGCTTTGGGAATTTATGTACATACCCAAGAGAGAGACACCCAAGAAGTCGCCATCATACAAAAGCCCCTTCTTTAGTACTATGCAGTGGATTTGCCTTCCCAGAGTTAACATTACAGGTCCACTACACGCATCTAAAAGGCTTGAAAAAGTTATTGCAGTCGGGTTCAATCCTACTTCATGTATCTCACGAAACAAGTTCACTGCTTCTTCCAAGTTGGTATGAGCAAACCCAGCAATTAGAGCATTCATGGAGACCACACTCCGGTGGGGCATATAATAGAGAGCTTTATGCGCATCCCCAATGACCCCACATTTGGAATACATGTCAATAAGGGAGCTCCCAGAATAAAGGCTTGTTTCCAGACCATTTTTAACTGAGAGACAATGGACTTGTTTTCCCATATCCAGTGCTTGAACATTTGCACAAGAACTTAGTATACTGGCCAAGGACACTTCATCAGGCACAATTCCGTGTGAATTCATTCTTCGGAACATATTAAAAGCCTCATCCTCGTCTTCTTCCTGTACATACCCAACTATAATTGCATTCCAAGAAATATTGTCTCTATTTTTTATGAGCTCAAATTGTTTCCTTGCTTCCTTCAGAGCCCCTGATTTAGCATACATATCAACCAATGCATTTCCCACATATAAATTTGATGCAAATTGGTTCTTGATGATATGTGAATGTAACTGGCAACCCATTTCTAGATATTCCAAGGAAGAACAGGCGCTAAGAATGCTAGTATAGGTAAATTCATCAGGGTGAAGACCACATTCCTTCATATTGGAAAACAAATCTATGACTTCACAGGCATGCCCATTCTGTGCATAACCCCCAAGCATCGTATTCCACAAGACAACATTTTTCTCTGATAGATAATCAAATATTTTCTTTGCAGCATCGATTTTCTCACATTTGGCATACATATTGATTAATGAACTGCCAACATAAAAGTTAGAATCTAACCCTTGTTTTATTGCCATAGAATGAACTAGCAAGCCAGAGTCTAGAGCAGCTAAACTAGCAATTGCGCTTAAAACACTTCCTAGTGTGGATCTTGACGGTTTTTCACCAGCTTTCCTCATTCTCAGGAAAAAGTTAACTGCTTCCTCCTCATAGCCTCTCTTGGCATGCCCAGAAATCATCACATTCCATGCTACAACATTTGGACTGGGCATCTGGGAAAACAATTCACATGCATCACCTAGTCTTCCTAGACCAACGCACGCATTTATGGCAGTCACAAATGCCACCTGGTCCAGAAAACCACCAACTCTCTGCATCCCCTTGAATACTTTAAGTGCCTCCTCAAGCAAACCAACTTGAATATACCCTGAAATCATTGCTGTCCAAGCAACCGTATCCAACTCCACCACTCCATCAAATATCCGTCGAGCATCACTTAAACAACTGCACTTGGCATACATATCAATAAGTGCACCTTCACAAAATGAACTCAACTCAAACCCCATCTTAATGACACCACAATGAACTTGTCTACCATACTTAATATCCACCAACCTTGAACAAGCAGACAAAACCATCGCGAAAGTGAACTCATTTGGTAAAACCCTGCAATTCCACATGGAACCAAATGAGTTAATAACCTGTTCCAACAATCCCTTACTTGAATACATTGACAAAACTGAGTTCCAAGCAAACACATCCTTGTTTTCAAGGCAGTTAAATGCCTTCTCGGCAAAGCCCACGTTACCACACTTGGCATAAAACCCAACAATGGCATTTCCTAGAAACCCTTTGGACCCAACTCCAAATTTCAAGCTCTGGGCATGGACAGTCTTGCAGGTTCTTGAAGCTTGAGCCAGCAGCCTTTCAGGCATTTCATCGAACACTTTGTGGGTTTTGATATTCTTGCACTGCTGTATACAGATTTGCAAGAGATGGGTGTAAAGGGCAGGGGCTCCATCTGGGTAGATTGGAATCGTTGAGAGGCTGTGCTTTTGGTGGAAGGAGTGCAGGGTTTTGGAGGGAGGTCTGAGGCGCATTGACTCATGACTAATTGGTGTCACTCAGTTATGAATAGACAGACACTACAGCAGAAGAGCCACTCCATGAGACCTGCAAATTGCTGATATCCTCTAGTGTCCCAGCCACTTCCAATTGATTTCAGAGAGAGAGAGGAGGGTTTAAGTTTTGAGGGATTCAAGAGTGTTCGCGCCAGAGTATAGTTAAGGATCAGAAGACGCAGAACCCGGCCGGGCCTGGGCTCAGGCTCAGCGATCCGAGAGCCTGACCTCTTGGTCACGTGGCCCACTTAACATTTTAATTTTAATAATTTGTTATTTTATAATTTTTTTCCTTTTTGATTAATATTTTCTAACAATGTATATTAAAAGTAATATATAGAATCTTATTAAATAATTTTCTATTTAATTCTTACAATTAAAAAATAAAATTTTTGAAATCTTTATTATTATCTCACAAAACAAAGGAAAAACAAATTGTTTGTTTTAATTTTATTGTGTTTCTGGCGCTTCTCCAATAAGGATTTTTGTTATGAAGCCAAACGCATTGTGTTTAACTAAAAAAATATCATTTACATAATGAAGGTTCTGCAAAACAATCATCCCATATAATGGTAGCTGGTCTATTAAGTGTTGAAACATACCCTTTAGAGCAGTTCCACCGATCAGCTGAGCCCATGGGGGGGGGGGGGGGGGGGGGGGGGGGGGGGGTGGGCGTTCCAGCGGTGAGCCCAAGCCCGGGCTGGGAGTGGGTCCCACGAAGTCAGGCTAGCCCGAAGGCCAGTTCAGCCCGAGGTCGAACCCGCGTATTCTGACGTCAGCGCTGTGCAGTCTCCAACGGGTAGAAGTCACATGTCAATCCAACGGCTGTCATTTTTTTGGCAATAAAATTATTGAAAAAAATCGAATTTTTTTTTAAAAATACTACAAAAATTTGAATTTTTTTCTTCTTCTATAAATACCTATCAATACCCTTCACTTTCAACACCAATCCTCACACATTTTATTCTACTTCTACTATTATTCACTATTTACTCAACATTTTCCTCTCTTTCACCTTGTATTTTTATTTCTTATTTTTATGGCTTCTTCTATCGAAATCGGAGGGGCGTGGAGCACCATGGAAGATGTTTCCTTATGTGAGGCTTGGCTCCAAAATTGTCATTGTCCCATGTTAGGCAATGAGACGAAATTTTTTCATAAGTGGAAAAAAATTCATACGTAATTTTGTGAAAAAATTCCGGGGTCGACTCATACGGAAATGACATTGTCTAGTAGGTGGAAAATTCTCAATAAAGAGTTGAGAAAATGGAGAGATGCCTTGTCAAAAGCAATGCACAACTATAGAAGCGGGGAAAATTGTACTAACGAGGTAAGTATTTTGTAATTTTCGTTTTATTAAGTTTAATGTCCTAATATATATATTATTAATATTTATTGCATTTTTAATATTTTGTTAATATTTCTTGCATTTTCAATATGTTGTTAATATTTCTTGCATTTTCAATATGTTGGAATTATTTCTTGCATTTCCAATTGTCTCTTAATATTTCTTGAACTTCCAATTTATTTGTAAGGTTAATTGCATTTCCATTATTATTTTTTTTTGTTACTTGCATATCCAATATATTTTAAATATTTCTTGCATTTCAATTTTTTTGTTAATTAGATGATTCAAGCACAGATGTGGTTCGGTGCAACCAGGGGTGGCAAAAAAAGTTTCAACCATCATGAATGTTGGGAGGTGGTGAAATATTGCAAATGCTTCATAATTATTTCCACGGGTCCCACCGTTGTGTTAAACGAGACGCCACTCCGTGATTTAACGACATCGGATTCACCTCTCAATTCCCCTATGAGTCAAGATTCACCCATCGAAAAGGTGCCGAGGCCCATTGGCCGAAAGGCTGCGAAGGCAAAGAAAGCGGGTAATTCAAGCAATAATAATTCAAAATTTTTGGAGGAAATTGCAAGGCAGAACACCGTAAGAATTGAAATGGAGCAGAAACGCCAAGAGAACGAGATGGCAATTCAAGCCAAGTATGCACGAGAAAGGGAGTATTTGCGCAAAAAAGATATGGACAAGACGGATCGGGAAACCATGGCAATGGATACAAGCCATATGTCCCCTGAAACAAAACAATTTTGGAAGCTAGAACGAAAGGTTGTTATGAGAAGAAGATTTTTCCAGGATGATGGGCCTAGCAACACGGATTGGTTAAATGATGAAAACTATTAAATTAGTTGGCATACCTTTTATGTATTTGTATTTTTCATGTTTTCTATTAAAGTTTTTGTAATTCTTAATGGCTTGTATTGGATTTCTTTATTTAATAAACAAAACATTCAATAAAATACCTCTTTATTCAACATATTCCATACATCAAACAAAACATAACTAAAATAAAAAAAACTACAAACAAGGCACAATAATAATAACAAACTACAACCAAACCATAATAAATAAAAAACAACACAACCAAACCATAAACTAAATAAAACATAACCAAAGCATCTATGCTCCATCATTCATCTTCATTGCCTTTCACCGCCCATAGATGCTTCATCAAGTCAACTTGACGCCTGTCATGAATATAAGAAGATTGCATCTCTGTATATCGATCTATCATTCGGGTCATGAAACGACCATCCCTCACCAACGGTTCCGGCTCAAACGGTTCTCCACTTGGCCCCATGGGCCTTTCATAAATCCGTGTCAAGGCCGTGTTCATTGGATCCGGTTCGTAGACCTCTAAAGCATCATAATCGTACTCATCCTCCACAATCATATTATGGAGGATGATGCAAGTCATCATAATGATTCTGAGGATCTCCTCATCAAACATACGGGCCGCACTTTGAATAATCAACCACCGAGCTTGAAGGATGCCAAAACACCTTTCAACATCTTTCATGTATCCTTCTTGATAAGTAGCAAATAATTTTTGCTTCTGGGATCGGGGATTCGGAATGGATTTGACAAAAGTGGTCCACCTCGGGTAGATGCCATCAGCTAGATAATACCTCATCTGGTAGACTGTATTGTTGACTTGATAGGTGATATTGGGGCCTTGGCCTCTCAATACATCGTTGAAGACCGGGGATTGATCCAGCACGTTGAGGTCATTTTGGGATCCTGCAACTCCAAAGAAGGCATGTCAAACCCATGTGTCGAAGCCAGCAACAGCTTCCAGGATGATACTTTTTTGGCCTTTTCTATTTCCGTAATCACCTTGCAAGGCAGTTGGGCAATTATTCCATTGAGAGTGCATGCAGTCGATGCTACCAATCATTCCTAGAAATCCTCGAGCTTCGGCTTTTTGTAGAAGCCGTTGAAGGTTCCTAGGAGTAGGTCTACGCAGGTAGTCCCTAATGTACAGAGTTTCAACTGCATCACAAAATCTTACCAAAGCCTCCAACGTAGTGGACTTCCCCATCTGGGCACTCTCATCCACCTGATTAGCAAATGCTCCATACGCCAACATTCGTATAACAGCTGTAAGCTTTTGCTCCGGAAGAAGCCCCAAAACCCCAGTAACATCACACTTTTGAACAAAGTATGCATCATAATTGCAAATATCATGCATGACTTTATTGAAAAAATGGGGTTGCATTCTAAATCGCCTTCGAAAATCAACATCACCTATGTCTGTCCACATTCCGGCGGCGGCCGACTTGTGAACCACGGCGACGACCTTGGTTCTCTTCATCTTGCAAAGCCATTGTTATGACAACTTGTTCATCGACTTGTCTCTGCAACTCATTGATTTCATCTACTCTACGGTTTCTCTCATTTGTTTCTCATTCTTGCCTCTCCAAGTATCTCCTAAAATCTTCCATTGAGAATGAATGGAGTATGAATTCTAAACTCTGATAAATGAAAATATAGAAAGATGTGGTGTGAGAGGTATGAGCTGAGCATCTGGTTTTATAGAAAATTTTGGCAAGATAGAATGCCACGTGGCTTGATTTGATTGGATGAAAATCTTATCTGAAATTTGAAATTCATCCGAAATTTGAACCCAAATTTATTTGAATTTTGAATTTTGAAATTCATCCGAAATATGAACCCAAAAATTTATCTGAAATTTAAATTTTGAAATTCATCCGAAATTTGAACCCAAAAATCTTATCCGGAAATTTTATCCGATTATGAATAATCTTGACACGTAGGAAACACAAAATGAGTGGAAACACAAAATACTATTTACAAAGGCAACCATTATTCACGTGAATAATGGCTGCCCTAGCTCCCCCCTTGCCATGGCTAAGGGCAAATGGGTGGAGTTGCTCTTAACCCATGTTTTGCAGCCATTCTTTTTGTACCAACTCAAACTTCAATGGAAGGATCTTCATTCAGAAGGTAAACGGTTTCATTTCATATGATTCAAACACAAAAGTGAACGATTATCAATTCAATGAATATCTTCCCGTCTTATATGTATTAAAAACACCACCTATGGGTGAAATGTAAAGTCCAACAACAAACAAAGAATGCAGAGAAGTTCTTCATTGGCAAATGTCCAACAAGAAATTAAATGTCTTTTTTGCAAATGTCGTTGAAATATTCTTTTCTACACTTTATTTCATACTCTTGCCAAAAACAAATCACCCTTCTTTATTGCCCTTGCGGTAAAGAAATGCTCTGCTCGAACTGCTAACTTCTGCCACTACATTGTACCAATTCCTATAACCTGTTTGATTAAATGGAAGGACGCGTTGTGTTGGGCAATCTCCGGCCACGAATGAATGAACTGAACAGGTGCAATGCTCTTGACGGTTGAGCGTATGGAACCATATGGGCAGCACCCCTTACTGTGGCAAAAGTCAATAGATCTCCATACTCTGTAGCCCAACCTCCCGCCTATTCATAAACATGTACAGATATTCATAAATAACAGAGCTAGGATATATTCAAGGGAGACAAACTTGAATAGGAACAAAAGGATAGTATTGTTAAAAGAAGTAAACAAGCACCTGGCCTTTGTGAAACCAAACTCCATATGGGACTGTTATCTGGAACTTTAGATCATGTGCTAGTTCCCGGATAAGTGTTCGGGAACCCAATAATGGTACAACAGAATCTTGATCGCCACTGCAATCGATTGACAAATCATATTATAGAGCAATTCTAAATTTAGAGTAGGCTTTGTTCATCTTTTCTCCTGTACATATTAGCGGAATTAATTACCTGAAAACCCAAACTGGTATACGATTATGAACTATCCTTGCGAGCAAGGGAAGAATGTTGATGTTACCATCAGTATCACTGTAATTAAGAACACTGTACCATGCAAGAAGGAGAAAATCAGTTATACTATATATATGCAAGTTGTAAAAGAATAATTCACTAAATAGTCTGATTAAGAAAGATTGTATTTTATCACTTACTTACTACACATACTCCAACTATAAGGTAAGTTTGTACGATTTGCATGAAGGGCTTTCTGAACCTCAGGAAGGTTAAAATAAAAACGTCTTTCAGAGCTCATACATACATCAACTCCAAGACTTATCTTAGTAGCCTGCAGAAAATGGGATTGAAGAAAAAACTCACTGCAACAATCAAATGACAAATTGCATGAAAGTGAAAGATGAAAAAGAAAAATAGAAACTAAATAGTAAAGAAACATGGAGGATACCATTTTCCGTAGTCTCAACTCTTGCTGCACTATAGACGGATAACAAACATCAAGGATTACGTCGTAATTGTTTATATAGTCGCCAACTATTTGATTTGCTTCAGATATTGCTGTGGTGCACTTAACGGTTATATTGTGAGGATTTGCAAATGCATAATCATCAAAATCACATTCGTTCATGATAATGAGGCCAATTTCATCAGAAATCATTCCATGAGACCAGAAGTATTCATACGTTGCCGGAATATCACGATCAAGTCTCAGCAGTGGATTGCCAATCTAGCCACATAATTTGAGTGTAATTGTGCAAACATCAGCAAAATAGACAAGTGACAACTTTACAGATAAACGAAAGCAAAGAATTAAAAATGTGAGGTCTTCTTACAGCAATCCCTTTCAGATTGAACTTGAAACCAGTTGAATGTTCATTATGGTCCAATATAGCTATAGCCAATTGCGGTATGTAGTGCCCTGTACATAACGGTTACAGTTAGAAAGGGTTTGATATATTGTTTCACCAGGCAGAAAATGAAATAAACCAACATAGAATAAACCCATTTTCATTTGCCTTCAACACGGAAAGCAATGGTTCCCCATTTATGTAAAAGTTACTAAATTATTGAATCTCCCTTCAACTAGAAAATAAAGTGAATCCTTTTTGTTTCCATTTCTTACTTTTAACTGACTCAATAAATCTTATATATATATATATATATATATAATGGATTATAAGAGCTGCATTTCCTAATACTTCAGCATAGAATTGACACTGATCAGACTTTGCAGACCTGCATAGCTTTCTCCGGTAAGAAACAACTCCCGAGATCTGAAAGCTGGAAACTTCTCATACCATTTCAACAGGAATGTGTGCATATCCCTTGCTGCAAAATCAAGAGAATGAGGTTGGCTCAAATCAAAGTGAAATTTATTATTTTTTCCTTTTTCAAGCCTGATTGCTAAGTTATAGCATTTACAAAAGAATGAGCACACACTAGAATCAGTGAAAAGAAAAGGAAGAACACGTAGCTAATCACTTTACCCGTGGACGCATCGCCAGAATTATAATCCGAACTTGTATTCGAGTATGACCATCCTACTCCAGCAGGAGACTCAACAAAGAGGAGATTTGATGCTACAAATAAAATGTGGGACATAATTTAGATAGGGCTCCAATAAGTATCTGAATGGTGAAACAGTTCATATTACCCATTCGCAAAAGAAGGAAAACCGATGTGTCCATTAAATGTAATATTTGATATACCTCTATTCCATGACATTAAATTTCTTCGGAGGCCTCTACCATCACCTGTAGGATAAAATGGACCCAGCTCTGTAAAGGCACCTCCACCAATAGAGGAGCAGCCTGGACCTGAACACAAAGTTAATCATCGAATGTTATAAACTATTCAGTGTTTATTCTTGGTAAGGGCATGATAAAGTTTCATTCTTGATAAGGGCATGATATGAATAACGAGCATGCTTTCAACATGCATCAATTCAGAGTTCGTGCTATATCCAAAGCCACTGCTATTTTCTTTTGTTCTTTTTTGTTTTATAGTGGTAATGCTTTCTGACCGACTACCAAAAGCTACAACAAATGGAATTGATAGTTTAGAGTTGCAAAGAATCCTAACAAAAATGCAGCACATGTGAACAAGAGACCAACTGAAGACAAGGATCATTAAAAGCTATGATGCACAGCCTTTTTTTTAATATAATTTGAAGAATTCGCTAGTAGGAACTACATGAAAAATATCTGTTATAGTGATAAACTAAATACATTGATCAACTCCACAACTAAAATCACAACTTGCTCTCAAGAAAACCAGAAAAGGCTAAGAGCTCCCAAGTATCAAGCTGTAAAATCAATTGAACAGGAACAACAGAGAATTCAAAACTAACCTCCATTGAGCCAAAGAGTGAGGGGCTTCTTGTCAGGCTCCTTGTCTGCTTCAACGAAGTAGTAAAACAAGCTCCTCCCAGCTTTCACATCCACATCAACATACCCAGCATACTGCTTGAACCCAACATTTGGCTGCCCAGGCAACCTCACCACCAGATCCTCAGCTGGGTATCCCTCCACCACACCAACCACCACCCACCACACACACCCTAACCCAATCAAAACCCCACCAAACCAACACCTACCCATTTCCTGAAATCCCAAAATCCCACAGAAGAATCAACCGTTTTATCAATTCCTAGGCAATTCTCTCTCTCTCACTATATATAAATATTATAGGACACACACACACACGCACAGACAGAGCCTCACTCACTCAAAACAACATTTTTTCCCTTTTAAAAGGAAAACAAAGGTGACCCAAAAAGAAACAAAATAGTGAACATAAAGGTTATCTGTATGTATCGTTTTATCTTTTAAGAAACAAATTCTGTTATAGCAATCACACGTCAATTCTGGGCTGCTTTATCAGAAAGGATAAGGTATGTGTATAATTTATACAAATACCAGATCTGATTTTAGAGAAGTTTCTGTCGATAACATTCGATGCAACCTCAAAATCAAATAGACAAAAAGAGAGAGAGACGTTAAGGAAGGTGCAAAGAAAGCAGAGGCGGGTGTTTTTACTGCTTTGCAGAAGTTGCAGGTCATGCCTTGAGAGAGACGTTGGGAAGTCGCATGGGCGGCATAGTAATAATCGCGAGAGTAATGGCAAAAGATCCACTTGGCATTCGCGAAACTTGATAAGATAATGAACTATGCAGCACGCTCTTCACTGTCGATAAAGTCAAACACATTGTACTCGTTTGGTTACTTAATTATTTTTTGCCTAAATTTTCAACAATTAAAAAATACTTTATATTTTGTATTTTTGGTGAGGTTTGGATTTTAAATCTAGGATTGGTTCATATGAATAATCAATTTACTTGGATATAATATTCATAATATGTAAAAAAAAATTATTTATATGAAAAAAACTATCATAAATTTTAAATAATTCATTATATCTACCAGATATGAGATTTACCATAAATACAAATAAAAAACACACATAAAAAAAAAAAAAAAAAACATATTTTTTCGTTCTTTTTGCCATCTTTTTTTTTTTTTTTTTTTTTTTTTTTTTTTTTTTTTTTTTCATTCAACATTTGTTTCATCATAATCTTCTCGATAATAAAAAAAATGGATGTTACTAGACCAAATGAGAAGAGGCTAGATAAACCTCATTTGTCTGCTCTTGTTAATCACTTGAGAGAGACAATAAAAATTAAATCAATAGCTCTTGTCGTAGGACACTGACCAATCACTATACACAAAAAAGTTCTTGCTTCGAGTCTCTTTTTGGTTCTGCAGGCATTGTAAAAAGACAACATGGCCGCCCTCTTTGGTCATAAGTTCATAACCGTTTGCTCTCTCTCTCTCTCTGCAGCTTACTTTAGTACTTTACAGCCCACAAGATTATCCTTTAGAATAACATTTTATACAAGTGGGAGATACTCGTGTCGTGGGGCTCAATTTTGAAAGAGCCAAGTTGGTCTTTATGAATTGTAAATTGATACTTTATTTGGGTTTGAAAAGAGAAACCTAAACAAACAAAAAGAATCAAATTAATCATAATATAATGCAGATAAAGTGAAATTTGACTGCTATCGTATTGTTTAGTAGCATTACATCATTATCAAACATGTAGTTCTGACCATGCATGTGAAAAAGTTCCCTAATTAGTGGAACTTATTAGGACCTTTTTCCTTCTTTTCCTTTTCTTGAATACTCGATATGTAGAAGAGGAAATCAAACACAAAAATTATGTACAAAAGAGAATTGACCATAGAATCTAGAGTGTAAGATTGAATGCTCGTAATCACTTAAGATATAAGTTCCTTATCTTCTTTCTATTTCTTTTCTTTGTCATGCTCACTACTTTGTTTTTTTTCCATTAATTGCATGGAATTCTCACTTTTTTTTTCTTTATTCTTCAAATTTCGAACTACATACTGTTCAAATTTTACATCAGAAAACCAAAATACCGGCCTCTGGATTTATTGGCCGAGAGAGAGAGAGAGAGAGAGAGAGAGAGAGAGAGGGAGTTGAAGCTAGAAAGAAACAGGGCAGCACCAAGTGCCTTTGCTACATTAGAGGTTATAAGGGTCAAATAATTGAGATTCATAGCATGCCATGTCCACAGCAATGTGGAGTCGGTGTAGGGCAGTCAACTCATTATCAGACAACTGGGTCTCATTCAGGATTGGATTGTCTTCCTTTCTATTTCAAATAGTTGGCATAAAACTGGAACGCAGAATACATTGTATCTCACTAACAAAGAATTCAAATTAGAACATCTTTGACTACACGGGCGCGCGTACACACATCCAATGTGCCATCACTTTCTTCTAACAAATCATGAAAACTCTAGAAAGTATGAGCCGAAGCAGGTAAAGATAAATATCAAGGAATAACTTGCGGGATTGGTAGGGCACACAACAGTGAAGCATGAAAAACACAAGATATCGCTCAACATTTTTTTTTCAACACCCTGATCCTCAATTCTCAAGACCAAAAAAAGCAATTTGGCCATAAAAAACAGAGGCCAAAAAAGGCCATTACACGATATAATAAAGGAGGATACTAACACTGTAGCACTCCTATAGCTTCTTGCATTTCAAAATGAATATTTTTATATCTTACAATATGGAGTGTAAAGAAGAGTGCCAACAACGGTACCGTAAATATGAATAAATTAAGATCACAAGTTGTTGATGCGAAAAAGTGGTTCAGTATTTTTTGGGCTCAACTTAGTGATGTTGAGCCTTCGGTATACCTTGGGTCTCTGTGGAGCGTGTGATCTATAAGATAACAAACATTCGGTAAGACCTTAGGCACCGGTATGGTACTGGCCGAAGGCTCTCCGATGCTTCAGTAAGTATGAATTTAGTAAACTTAGACTGACAAATCAATAGGCTGTATGTCGTAAGTTCCGATTACCTCCATTTAGGGATAGTGGTCCTATTTATAGGCCTTGGGAGGTGTGCTTATTGTTTAGAATTTCGATGTGGGACTGTGGACGTCGATTGTGGGCACGCCACATGTCTTGAAGAAGGAAGTTGCCCTAATCGCTGGATCGGTAGGCAAGATGCCGAAGGCCACCATTGCCAAACTCAATCTTGTCCATGTGTCTGGTCCTTATAGGCTGTTCATTTTGGTATAAATAGGAGTCCCCCAAGTTCTCATATGAGCGTTCTTCGGATGGGGACTTGATACTTTCGTCGATAATCGAAGTGTCATTCTACCGTTCGATGATTTTGCAAAGGGTGGTGCTTGATCCTGATCGGAGATCCCTGTCTCTCGACTTCCCTGTCGTTAAGCCAGTTGCGACAATCGGTGTAGACCTTCTTCGATAGGTGGGGCTGGTCCCTAGGAGCTGGAACTACTAGTTGTTTGGAGGGCGCAGGCGTTGCCTTTGCCTCCTTTTTGCTTTTTCTCTACTGACTTAGAGTCTGCAGGCTCTCAGAGGATTGAGTGGGTTGGATGTTTTGTGTATGCTGCTGATTGAGCAGTTGTTGGGTTTCATCCACTTTAGACGAAAGTATGTTGTTATGTTCTTGAAGTTTAGCCATATCCTGCTGAAGAGAAGTTATTTGGGCCAGAAGCTCAGCTTCGGTAGTCATTTGCATTATGGGCAAATGGGGTGCAAGGGGGTAGCGCTGGGCTAGCTCCACTCTGCCTTCCGAACGGCAATCCTTCCTCTGGCAAGAATACAGGTACCGAAGTGGTCCCCATGTGTTTTAGGGATAATGGGTCGATTCATATCATATTCCCACATACAATGCCAAACTGTTAATGCGAAAAAGTGGTTCAGCACTTTTTGGGCTCAACTTAGTGATGTTGGGCCTTCGGTATGCCTTGGGTCTCTGTGGAGCGTGTGATTTGCAAAATAACAAACGTTTAGTAAGACTTTAGGCACTGGTGTGGTACCGACCGAAGACTCTCCGATTCTTCAGTAAGTACGGATTTAGTAAACTTAGACTGACAGATTAATAGGTTGTATGCCGTAAGTTCCGATTACCTCCATTTAGGGATAGTGGTCCTATTTATAAGCCTTGGGAGTTGTGCTTATTATTTAGAATTTCGATGTGGGACTGTGGACGTCGATTGTGGGCACGCCACATGTCTTAGATAAGGAAGTTGCCCTAATCGCTGGATCGGTAGGCAAAATGCCGAAGGCCACCATTGCCAAGCGCAATCTTGTCCACGTGTCTGGTCCTTATAGGTTATTCATTTTGGTATAAACACAAGCAATGAGACTTATACGTGTTTCACGAGCAATGACAAACACAATCCACTACACAAGACAGCATAATAAGAATATTACAATGAAGAAAATGTACTTTTTCCTTGCATGCAAAGGTACTTCCTCTTCTCTCCCCTTGTTCTGAAAGAAAACCCCAAATGCACACGCAAGCACTCGTGCTTTTTATGAAGGAACATTTCCACAAGCATTCACACATTAAAAACACCAACCCTAGTATTTTAACATAATGTAAAAACTAGGGCTATGAAACAAAAATAATAATAATCCAAACCACCTTTAAAAGCTCGAAAAACTAGACTTGCTGAAAAATGCTTAAGCCCTAATATGCAACCAATATACAGAACAAAAATTTCTAGAATTTACTTACAAATAAAGAGCTATGAATTTCTGGAATTTACTTACAAATGTACTACAAATAAAGAGCTATGTCAAAAATGGACTGCAGAGAGAGTAGAAGAAGACCTCCAGAGACAAATTCTCAGGAACTAATTTAGCAAGCTCTGCTTCATCAAGTCGTGCTCTACAGGTTCTTGAAAAAGCTTCAATGTCTTCCATACTTGGGGAGCCAGATCTGTAGTACATCCATGTGGTTTGAGCTCAAAAGGCATTCATATGACAGCTTACACAATTTGTGAAGAGACTTATTAACAAACAGATAAGATTTTTTCTACCAATAAGAAAACAGAGAAACAAACACAAATGAAGTAAAGTTAACAACAGACATTCAACCAATATTGGTTTTGCCACATCCACATTAGTTATTGGACGAGTGATCTGCTTACTAGCTGCATGAAAAGCTTCCAAGTTTCATACAGTAGAACTAGCTCTTGTGCGCCCAAGAGAACAATAAGTTTCGGCCAAAAAAAAAAAACTTAAATATTAAGAGTTGTAAAGATAGATTATTAAATTGGATCTTGGAAGTTGAACATTTATTGTAAGTAAACCTGTTTTGATGTTGCCTTTTGGTAGTGCCTTTCAATAACTTGAACTTTTTGGGATTAGTAGTAACCTAACATAGTAACAGAGTCATATTGTCTAAAAAGTGGTTCAAGCCTTAGTTCTGGAAACTTCTATTTTGCACGTGTAAGGTCCAGTTTGGTGAAGTGTTAAGTTGGCTGTTAAGTTGTGATTGACATGCATTGTTATCCCATCTCCTAATAGCTTAGGCTTTTTAGATCAATTGTCCTGCTCTTCAAATATGTGTACATGAAACATTTAGGCCAAAAGCTACCAATTTTCAAATAAACCCCCAAATAAGCCTTTTACCATTTGATACATTATAATGCATAAGATCCCAAATAATCCAATACAATCATCTAATTGCTATATGCTATTTTTGAACCACATGCAGAAACAATGTCACGTTTTGATCCACTTCTTCATCATATGCACCATCCAGCTATATTAAAAACGATTGGAAATCGATTCACATAAAAGATTTCTCACAAAGAGTTATTAGATAGAAAAGAGGAAGAGGTTAGTGAAGGAAAAGGCAATCTGAAGACATCTTTGGCAACACCATTTCCCTAAAAGCTCCAACCCATCAAACCTAATTTTGATAGATTTAGCATACATAAAGTTTCATAATACGCTCTTACACATGGCAAGCATAGAATCTGCATCGCATACTAATTTATAAAATTGTAAATTAGCAAGTAAGTATCAAAATTATTCGTCACATCTAATTTTGGGTTTGATGATTACCTATTCAAAAGCTTCTCAATGCGCACTTGGATGGTGAAATTGGCAACGTTTTAAACGCATATATTTTCGGGTCACCATCAAAGGACAGAATAACTTCTTCAGCTATTTCTAATGCCTTGTATCCAACCATACCCCCCACCTCCTCCGCCTCCATCTCCAGCCTTCGAAATGAATCAAAAGACTGTTAGGATCAATCTCTAAGATTACCAAGCGGCAATAATAACTTATACACACTACTCACAGAGTTCAACAGACTCTTCTTCGTAGTAATCATCACCCTCATCATTCATTGATGCCTCTGTATGATTAAGAATTCACTCGAACATGAAACATTTCTGACCAAACTTTGCTGTAATAAAATAGGATAAGAAAATGAAAACCATTCCCATTACTCAGATGCTAGAACTACCCATTAAAGAATAATCAACAAATTACCATTATACTTAACTAGCTTTTCTGGTATAAAACAATATAAGAAACTCGAAATACATGACAAAGATTTATAATGACATAAGAAACTTCATGGCAAAGAAATGTACAAATACAAATTCAAGAACCCAGAACAGAAGCAAATTCTAATATCTTATCAGAAAAAGGAAAGAAAAGGAAAAATAGGTAAATTCACAAAAACACCATCTTCTTCGAAGTTATCCAAGATAACGTCGTCGTCGTCTTCATCGTCCTCTGAAACTTCTTTGATAATGGTTGGTTTGAGAAGTGGCTCAGGCTCTAAGTTTCGCTTGCGGGCGTGAAGTGCAGGAAAATAGTTGCATGCTCCCAGTTGTGGAGCTTGAAAGAGAGTTGAGACAACACCCACATTCTTCCTTGATTGCACATGAAATCTAAGCATTTTACTAGTCCAAGCTAACCCTCCCTATCAAACATGGCCTAAATACATGAAGCATTTTACTAGTCCAAGCATGAAATCCCAAAATACATTTACTGCAGAAATATGATAAACTTTCTTGCTATAAACTAGCTTTATGACAGTACTCTATTTATGGAGAACGCATGATACCTCGTTCACAATCAAACAAAATTCAAGCCTAATGTATGTACATAGCTCAGTGCCAAGAAATAAATAAAGAACTGAAATGCACAAGGTTAAATAATCTTACAGCTCCTCCTTTGTGAACCCACTCAATTTAATTTGAATCAACTATAAGAACACTTTTGAATAAGATAGATATCTGAGCTGAGTATGCAAAAGTGATCATCTTCAGGTAGTAACTAAAATAAATTTTCAAACTAGAACTTTGGTAAGAAGACGCTCCTTTTTCTTTGAAAGTAGAAAACATGGAGGGAATTCATGAATCACCCTTCCTGACAAATTCATCAACATTCCCAATCCCCTTAATCAGAGAGTAATATGTGCTGTCATCAGGTTTGATCCCTCTGCTCACCATTTCTTTAAGGAGTACTTCAGCAAGATCACCTTCTTGGGTTTTGGATAGACCTTGTATAAGGGCATTGTAAGTTAGAAGGGTAGGATTGAAACCTATGCTCAACATCTCATCCCGAACTTTAAAGGCATCCTTCAAATCACCTCTTTTACTATAACCACTAATTAGGGTATTGTAACTAATGTGATCAGGTTTAATCCCCCTTCTCTTCATCTGGTCCAGAAGTTGACGAGCTTCCTCAACTTTCCCTTGCCTGCAACGCCCTTGCATTAGGGTATTGTAAGTCACTTCATCCGGATGAACCTTCATTTTATCCATCTCCCCCAAAAGTGCAAATGCACGCTCCATGTTACCGTTAGCACAGTGGCCATCAATCAAGGCATTGAACATCACAAGATCCGGCAGAACACCCTTCGTCAATATCTTCTTAAACAAGTCATCTGCCTCCTTCATTCTTTTGTTTTTACTCAAAACATACATAAGTGATGTATAAGTTACCTTAGTAGGCTTTATCGATTTACTCAACATTTCATCAAGAAGGCTAAAGGCTTTCTTTGCATTCCCACTTCTGCAATAGCCGTTAATTAGGATGTTATATGTAATTCCATTAGAAACCACTCCCTTCTCTTCCATTTCTTTTACCATCTCAGAAGCTTCAACCATCCTACCTTCCATAAACAATGCATGAATCAACAAATTGTAAGTTGACACAGTCGGTCTTATACCCTTCTTCACCATCTCATCTCTATAACTGAAAGCCTTGTCCAGATCACCTTCGTTGCAATAACCATCAATCAAGGTGTTGTAAGTCACAGCACTTGGAAGTAGCCCAATTTCCAGCATTTTATTGAAAAGCCCCACTGCTTCCTGAAGTCTTCTTTCCTTGCACATCCCGCTAATAAGCGAACCATAAGTGTAGGAATCCGGCTCAACACCTTTACCTTTCATAGCACTAAAGATCATTTGAGCCCTTCCAACTCTCCCTCTTGAACAAAACCCGTGAATTACCGTATTGTAAGTTACAACATTAGGCTTAATGCCCGAACTCTCCATAAACCCAACAAACTCCTTTGCCTTCTTCAGCTTCCCTTCTTTACACAACACATTAATCATTATGTTAAATGTACAAACACTCGAATTTATCTTCAACCTAAACATCTCAGCATACAAAACCCACACTCTCTCCGTTTGGGTTCAATTTCAAGAACAAACTCAGCATGTCATTGCACGTCTCAGTCTTAGGCATAAAACCTTTATCTACCATCAAGTAGAAGCAGTCAACAGCCTCGTCGGCCTTCTTCATTTCACAACAAGCCCTTAGCAACAAATCAAAAATTATGCTGCTATTTACACTCAAACGCTCCCGCGAGAGCGCCAGTGGATTGAAAATCTCTCTGATTGTAGCAATGCCACTACCAACGACTTGCTTCAAGAGTTCTAAAGCGGTTTGTGGGGAAGACTGGCGGGCGACAATGGCGATGGCGAGGCAACGGGTTTGGATATCCAGGCGGTGAAAATCGACATTGGAGATGAATTCAAGGACAAGTTGAGGGCTTTTTTGGAGTTCAAAGAGGGCCTCGGAGATTAGAGAGGGGGAAAGGTTGGGCGAAAGGTGTTTGATGAAATGCCACTGAGAAGATTGGATGGTTTTGAGTAGAGAGCGGCGGGTTATTGGTGGAGGGTCTGTGGGGTTTTCTGGATGAGTGAGTGAAGAGAAAGGTGCGGAGGAGGGAGCGTGGTTTGTGAGGAAAATGGGTCTGAGCTTGGAGGGTAGGGTCTGAGGGTTGAGGAGTTTGTGGGGTTTCATGGTTATGGTTGCCTGATTTGTGCAGAACAGAAAGCAGACAGCACAGAGACAGAGACAGAGCGTTTGAGATAAACTTGCCTGTTTGTTGGTACTGAGCTGCTACATCAGATTCAATTCAAGCAACAACGACTCTCGCAATTCTCTCTTCTTTCTCCTGCATCACCGTCGCTGGCACACCTCTTCCATTATCACCATCTCCATCGCTGGCCAACTTGAGAGAGAGAGAGAGAGAGAGAGAGAGGAGAGAGAGAGAGAGAGAGGAGAAGGGGATTTCGGCTGGGAGGAGTTGGGGTTTTTAGGGTTTAGGGTTCGAGAAAAGTATTGTCCCCTGGTTGTGGGATTTCCTGCAAGCCACAACGGCGGATCAAAATCGGAGAGAAGGGCATTGACGACGGCGTTTTGTTTAGATACGAATCGTTTTGGGGTGATATATCGGGGTAGAAGGGTAAACACTAGTACTATTATAGCGAGAAAAGAAAAAAAAAAAAAAAAAAAAAAAAAAAAAAAAAGGTACACGTACGTACACAAAAACTTGTGTGTATAAATATAGAGTAACTTAATGGTGCTGAACACTCCGTTAACCTTACTCCACGATGTAATTTCAAATCCAAACAGTTCGTTTTTTAAGTCGTCATTCAAGGATTATTCCTGCAAAATTTCAACCAAATCAAACAAAGTTTAGGCAGTTGATCATGACCGTGGACATTTTATTATTTTATCATCGCACATTGCAATTGCACTGAAAGCTACACTGACAGTTTTACACAATCCGCAATCCCCTAAACAAAACAGCAGAAGAAAATGTACTTTTTTCTTTACATGCAAAGCTAATTTCTCCTCTCCCCAAATGCACACGCAAAGCATTCACACATTAAAAACCCCAACCCTAAAATCTTAAACATAATGTGAAAACTAGGGCTACGAGACGAAATCAAAATAAAAAATAAAAATAAAAATCCAAACAACCGTTAAAAAAAAAGCTTGAAAAACTAGACTTGCTGAAAAACGCTTAAGCCCTAATATCCAACCAATATACATAACAAAAAGTTCTAGAATTTATTTACAAACGTGCTACACATAAAGAGCTATGTCAAAAATAGACTGCAGACAGAAGATGGCAAGTTGAGAAAATGATCTGTACCCCTGCATTATTCTTATTTATCTACTGCACTATATCATAGCATTTCTTGAGCCAAAATGATTTACAGAATGAATGATCAAATTTCAGAATACAACCGAACTAAACGTAACGAATCAAAGGGTGTGTTCAATTGCCACTGCCGCTGCTTTTTGCTAAGTGGTCTCCCTTTTCCTGCTTTTTCTCTATTAATCCTCACGTCTGCTAAACCCCAAACGCAACACTTTGTTTCCACATCAAAAGAAACAAGCCTGAAAACACCATCATTTTCTGAAATTACGCCAGTTTCAGCTGTCTCACTGAAATATTTCACATACATAGGTCGATCTTTGAACCGATCCAACTCATGTGGAACCCGAACTATCCTTTCAACACCTGGAGATGACACCTGAGAGTAAACTTATTTCTTTAGACCCACAAGGTAGAAAACACAAACAATTAGGGAGTACCAATTTTAGAAGTTTCAGCTTCACAGCTTTAGCCATGGTCGTAAAAACCTACCCAAACAAGTTGGCACTATAAACTGAAGCAATTGAGCACTGCCCTTATCTAAAGGTTTTATGCCTATCTACATAAAAAAGCTCAGACCCATCTTTGCCGTTCAGTTGCCCATAGTACGTACAGCAATGGGGCAGCTAGACTCATTTGCACCCAACCCACCCCACTACCCTTCATATTTCATGGAGCATTAATAATCTACGACGGTATGTCTTCCCCATCACATAAAATAGAAAAAAGACAAACAATACAAAACAGAGAAAGGGTATTAGAAACTGAAGAGAGAGAGAGTAGAAGCAGACCTCCAGAGATAAATTCTCAGGAAGTGATTTAGCAAGCTCTGCTTCATCTAGTCGTGCTCTATAGGTTCTTGAAAAAGCTTCAATGTCTTCCATACTTGGGGAGCCAGATCTGTAGTACATCCATGTGGTTTGAGATCAAAAGGCATTCATATGACAGCTTACACAATTTGTGAAGAAAGACTTATTAACAGACAGATTTGATTTTTTCTACCAATAAGAAAACGTAGAAAGAAACACACATGAGAAAAGTTAACAACAGCTGCATGAAAAGCTTCCACATTAGTTATTATTAGACTAGTGGTCTGATTACTAGATGGATGAAAAGCTTCCAAGTTTTATACTGTGGCACTAGCTCTTGTGTACCCAGGAGAACAATAAGTTCAGAATTTTTTTTTAAAAAAAATACTTAAATATTAAGAGTTTTCCAGATAGATTATTAAATTGGGTCTTGGAAGTTGAACACTTATTGTCAAGTAAACCTGTTTTGATGTTGCCTTTTGGTAGTACCTTTCAATAACTTAAACTTTTTGGGATTAGTAGTAACCTAACATAGTAACAGAGTCATATTGTCTAAAAAGTGGTACAAGTCTTAGTTCTGGCGACTTCTAATTTGCACATGTAAGGTCCAGTTTGGCGAAGTGTTAAGTGTGCTGTTAAGTTGTGATTGGTATGCATTGTTATCCCATCTTCTAATAGCTTAGGCTTTTCAGATCAATTGCCCTGCTCTTCAAATATGTGTACATGAAACATTTGGGCCAAAAGTTATCCATTTTCAAATAAACCCACAAATAAGCTGTTTACCATTTGATAAATTATAATGCATAAGATCCCAAATTATTGCTATATGTTATTTGTTGAACCACATGCAGAAACAAATGACACATTTTGATCCAATTCTTCATCATCTCCACTATCCAGATTGGAAATTATTGGAAATGGATTCACATAAAAGATTGCTCACAAAGAGTTATTAGATCATAGAATAGAGGAAGAGGTTAGTGAAGGAAACAAAACATAGAGATCTGTGTGCACAATGCAACACCTTTTCCCTAAAAGCTCCAACCCATCAAACCTATAATTTTGATAGAATCAGCATACATAAAGTTTCATGATACACTCTTACGCATGGAAAGCATAGAATCTACATCACATACTAATGTTATAAAATTGTAAATTAGCAAGTCTTCAAAAGTATTGGTCACATTTAATTTTGGGGTTTGATGATTACCTATTCGAAAGCTTCTCAATGCGCACTTGGATGGTGAAATTTGGCAACGTTTTAAACGCGTATATTTTCAGGTCACCATCAAAGGACAGAATAACTTCTTCAGCTATTTCTAATGCTTTGTTATCCCACCATACCCCAGCAAGAGAAATTCCACCTCCTCCGCCTCCATCTCCAGCCTTCGAAATGAAGCAAAAGATTGTTAGGATAAATCTCTAAGATTACCAAGCGGCGCTCATAACTCATACACACTACTCACATAGAGTTCAGCAGACTCTTCTTCGTAGTAATCATCATCCTCATCATCCATTGATACCTCTGTGTGATTAAGAATTCACTCGAACATGAAACATTTCTGACCAAACTTTGCAGTAATAAGATAGGATAAGAAAATGAAAACCTTTCTCATTACTCAGATGCTAGAACTACCCATTAAAGCATAATCAACAAGTCACCATTATACTAACTAGCTTTTCTGGCATAAAACAATATAAGAACTCGAAAAAATCTGACAAAGATTTATAATGAAATGAGAAACTTAATGGCAAATACATGTACAAAGACAAATTCAAGAACCCAGAACATCCAAAGGAAAGTTCTAAACCACAGATATCTTATCAGAAAAAGAAAAGAAAAGGAAAAATAGGAAAATTTTCCATAAATACCATCTTCTTCGAAGTCATCCAAGATAACGTCGTCGTCGTCTTCGTCGTCCTCTGAAACTTCTTCGATAATGGTTGGTTTGAGAAGTGGCTCAGGCTCTGAGTTTCGATTGCGGGCGTGAAGTGCAGGGAACTTGTTTGGAATAAAGGGAAATGGGTAAGCCCAGAATTGGCAAGAGAGCTTAGGAGGAGGTGAGAGAGAAGGGCGCTGCAAGTGGGTTCTACTTCTCCTAGTGATGATTGGTGACAATGAAACTGCAGAGGCTCTCAAATTCCATGTTGTGGTTAAGTCCATCTAGTTTTGTTTCTTCTCGGAATTTAATTGAATTTGCCTTCGACAACGAGAAAGCGAAAACAAAGTTGAGGAATTGAGTGAGTGCGTTTGAGAAGCTGGACCGCTCGAGCTTCAGTAGCAGTGAAAATGTGGCCGATTGCCCCAAAATAAAAACAAAACAAAAAATTCAAAAAAAATGTATCAAGAAAAACTCTATTATCTATATTAGGCCACAAATTATGATTTTGTGTGTTTCCAAGTTGTATTGGGTATATGAATTTTATAAGAAATTCCAATTTGGTCATTGATAAATAAATGTAGTCAAATTAATCATTGTATTATCAAAAGTTTACAATTTTTAGACTTGTAATTAATTTCCTTTAAGTTGTTGGGTTAAATACTTTTTTAGGATTTCCCCAATGGGGTCTCTAAAAGGAGTCCTTCTGTGGTGCATCGGGTGCACCGGTATAGCCCATCATGTGAGGTTTTTTTAAAAACAAGGGAAACCTACTGACTTGGTCAACAGGTAAAAAATTTGATGCGCTGCTGATGCGAACAGGGGAACGATTTCACGTTCACGCTCACTCGACGTTCTTCTTCCTCAAACTGATAATCTTTTCTGCAACTTCAAACTTCAAACTGATAATCTTTTCTTCAACTCCTCCTTCAGAAAGTTTCTTCCTCCTCTTTGCAACCTCTCTCTCTTCTTTGTCATCATTGTCAAAAAACCCCTATTGTAGGGTTTGGATTTTGGGGAAAATTTTAGGGTTAGTAGTTCGGGTTGATAATAGGAATTGGAAATCAGTTTTCCAGTCACTGCGTTGGCACTCCTCTCATCTACAATCGAGCCCTTCTGAAAGCATTTGGTAATAGTTCCTTGTGAAGGTAAGTCAACACTATGTTTTATTTTATTGTTAATTGAAATTCTGTGGTGATGACTTGGGGCAAGAGGGGAAGTGGGTTTCTCACATTGATGAGATGAAGTGGGTTTCTCATTCTGAAAGTGTTGTGAGGTGAAGTGGGTATCTCACATTCATGGTTGTAATGTTCATGCAATTGCATATCTGTATATGCAATTACTAATCTCCTGTATGCAAATCCAAGTCACTGAATGCAATTACAGTATCTAGTTTAGTTTTCAAATTATGCAAGTGAGGTGATTTCGTGGTAGGTAGGTAGGTTTGACTGTGTTTTTGAATATTTTGTTATGGGGAGTAAAGTGTTCCGAAAGTTTAATGTTAGGATTGGTTAAGATTTGGATTGGGATTTGAAAAGAGTAAGAATCCCGGCCCAATAGAGAAATGCATGGGTGGGTTGTGTGCGTTATCTGTGCAATGTTATAATCGAGGGCTGATGCACTTGCAAGTAGTGTCGTGCAATTGCATATCAGTATATGCAATTACTAAGCAACTGTGTGCAAATTCAGGTCCCCGTATTTTTATAATTAAGCAATGTGTGATGTTGTGGTGTTTACGGGGTTTAGGGGGTTTAAGGTGTATTAGGCTTTGGATTAGTATTCAAAATCTCGGCGCTAGAGACAATTGCATGACAGTGTTTTGTACTTGATTTGTGCAAGTTATGGAAGCTCAAAAAAGGGGATCAGCGAAAGGAAAGCGCAAGGCCGAGAGTAATGTGCAACAATCAAGAGTTGGCCGAGATGCATTTTTTAATTTCATGTAAGTTACACGTACATCTAAAATTTGGAAATGTGGTTGCTTAATATTATGATGGTTTTTTGATTAAAAATAAATTATTTACAGGAAAAAAGAACGGCTTGAAATGGGGAAAAGGGCCAATGCAAAGTTGGACAGTAAGGTGAGAGATGGCTATTGATTGGGTCAATTTATTATTTATTGTATTAAAAAGGCTCTTTTAATGAGAATTTTGTTTTTCAAGTACAAGAAGAGATTGCTAACAAGTGGAGGAAATTGAACCCTACAGAGAAGGCAACATATGGTGCTGCCTTGGAAGGTTCGAGTGGGAAAGTACAAGGTTCGACTGGGCAAGTAGACGACTCAGTGAATGAGATGGGTTTTATCACTAGATGCAGCCTGGACCAATTCCATCGTACGGTGGAAAAATTGTCGAATGAGAAGCGGTTAGCAATTAATGCTATTGGGTTCGGTAATATGGCATCATTGTCATGCACTCGTTTACACCGCCAACTATGCCAATTTTTTATTCAAAGGTTCAATCCTGATATGTCCTCTATAGAACTACACGGCAATGTGTTTGGAATAGGTGCCATTGAGTTTGGGCGTGTTATGGGGCTTAAGAACATCGGCGAGGATGTTCAACTGGACTGTGATGTAGAAGATGAAAAGATGAAACAGTTAGTGAAGAGTTTTGGTGGAAATGGCAAGAGAGTATCAGTAAAGGGTTTAGCATAACAATTGGAAAAGTGCGAACATGTGGATGAGGACTTTAAAGTTCGATTCGTGATGTTTGCACTTGGCACTGTACTTTGCCCCACATCTTCACCATCAGTGATCGGGAACTATTTAACTTTCTTGACGATCCCAGGGAAGATAGAGACCAAGAACTGGGCCGACCATGGATTCAACTTCTTATGTGAAGGTGTTAGGCCGTTCCAAGCGAAGAAAGTTTCATATGTAAATGGGTCACTGCTTTTTCTCCAACTATTCTATTTCGATTCAATTCTCCATGGTGGAGTATATGTTGATAAGTCTTTGGATCCCATTGTGTCATGGGACAATAAGTCGGTGTGGAAAATGATTAAATGGGTTAGAAAGCAAGGTGGGTTTGATAGTCCTACCGTTCAGGTTGTTTCAAAGCACCGTCCAACGAATGAAGTGTCCGGAGTCAACGTTGAAAGAATTGTTGAACAAGTTGCTATCAGATTGGCGCCGGTAATACAGGCGGAGGTGAAGCGATCAGTGTTGGAACTCACCAACAAGGTAATGAGTGAAATGAGATCCTTCATGAAAGACGCAAGACAACATCTTCATCCAGCACATGAAGATGTAAATGAAACTGAGGACGGGGCATTGAAAATACGAGATCAAGGTGTTGAGAATGTTGTGAAGAAGAAGGGTGAAGAATGTAGCCAATTAAAGGAGAAAGGTGCAGTTGATGAAAAAAATCCTTGGACGCCATTACCGGATGGACAGAGTTTCAGTGAACCCGAGGTATGATGAGCGATTAGGAGTTTCAAGATCGAGTTTCTTGTTATCTTTTACATTTATTAAGTATGCATTTATTTACATAGTTATGCCTGAATTCCAGTGCAGAGATGAGTACATACGGTATCGCCACTATGCGGACTTATGTGAAGCGGTACGTTCTACACTAAACGCGTGTTATGTAATTACACTTGCTGCATGAAATGCATATAATTTTTCAAATTTCTAAAATGATACCTGAATTCCACAGGAAGAACAACATCGAACTTTGGAAAGGGCCAAGATAAGGGTAGCAAACATCTTTCCTCAGCCATGGTCAGCGCGAATACCATATTGGGCCGCTGAAAATGAAAGTAAACTTGTGCGGATACCCCGTGGGCAAGATAGCCCAGATCTACCATTACCTGATGGTGTCACCCATGTAAGTAGCTTCTATTGCATAATTTATTAATACATGAGGGCTTCCGGTGGTCATTGTTGTAATTACATGTGCCGTAATGTAGGTCATTGCTGAAGCTGCAACCGAGCTTTTGGACCTAATTGCTGGGTTGAATGCTGTACTATTTTCAACTGCATCGGAAGCAAGCGTAGAGATCAGGCGCCTACGGCAAGAGATTGTGAGTCAGTTCAACTTTATTTCATACTCATTTCATAAAATTAACAAACATCAGGAATGTTATAATCAGATAACAAACCATGGTATTGAACATGAACGATGTTATCTTGTAATAGGAGAAATTGAAGAACACCTCGGGAACAACCATTGCGAGTTCGGGTCTTGTTCAACACGTCGTAGATGATGATGTAGAACATGTAAGTTTGTTACTTCCAACCTCCATTGTAAAGTTCGATGTATAAGATGTTCAATTTTACAAATTTAAATAATATGTTACATTCTGCAATGCAAACCAGCATCACTTGTGTGCACAACAAATGTGAACAAAATTGTTTATTTATATATATATCAATGTTTCTCTTTATGTAGGAGTTTCGCACAAAATTTAAACATGACATAGGTAGAAAAGGAAAGACCAAACTTGTGATACAAGAAGAGCATGAAGAAGATGAGGAAGAGGAAGAAGAGGAAGAGGAGGAAGAAGAAGAGGAAGAGGAAGAAGAAGAGGAAGAAGAAGAGGAAGATGAAGATGAAGAGGGAGATGACGAGGAAGTTTGGATCGAAGACGGGGATGAGGATGAGGATGAGGATGCGGATGAGGACGGGGCCGTAGCTAAGGGTAATCCGGATGCAGAACAACACTCCACAGACCAAAAACGCAAAGGTGAGAAAAGTCTTCGTTCACGTACCCCAAAGAGAAAGAAAACCATGTAAATTATGGATTCAGTGACATTTTTCGGATCATGGTATCTTCGTTTTGTAAAAGAATATGTTCAGTTTATTGGCTCTTACCGTTTCTCATGTAGTATATTTCAGTTCATTTTGCGGCCTTCAATTGATCCATTTTTCCTCTATAGTGGTTTGCGCACAGTCACTCTCGCATTGCATCAACGTCGTGCAATTGCATGTTTACAATGCAAATGCTAACCGGGTGTGTGCAAACTAAAGCTAGCTTCAAAACGCTAACCTAATTAATGGATAGTGCAAAGACAAAGAAAAGGAAGTTCCGAATTTTATTAGGACCCTCTGTGTATTATTTTTGTATTAGGGTTAATCACATTTTGGTTTACGAAATTGAGGATATTTTGGAAAGTCATTTGTGCTACATGACAATGTGTATTAGTATGTAATTTCGATAATTGGTCGATTTGTAATAGAATATGTTCGGCTTATAGCCCAACCCTTAGCATTTATTTGAATGCTCTGTATTTCTGTTGATTTCGCCCTTCGATTTATAGTTATAGAAATAGGTCTACTTATGCCTGTACCCAAAAATAATTATGAATTTTTGGTTATTATGGGTTTGCGCACAGTCATTCTTGCATTGCATCACTGTCATGCAATTGCATGTGTGAAATGCAAATGCAGACCGGCTGTGTGCAAACTAAACATAGCTGAAAAACGCAAACTTATTTAATGTATAGCTCAAAGACAACGAAAACCAAGCAACTACTTTATTACGACCCTATGTCGATTATTGAAATTCGGGATCTTTTGGGAAGTCATTTCTGCTAAATGGCAATGTCTATTAGTACGTAATTTCGATCATTGGCCGTTTTGTAATATAATATGTTCGGCTTATTACCCCTTACCATTTATTTGCATGCTCTGTATTTCGGTTCATTTTGCCCTTTGATTTATAGTTTAAAAAAAAGGTCAAATTATGCCCGTAAAAAAAATATATGATCCATTTTTCTTTATTATTGGTTTGCGCACAGTCACTCTTGCATTGCATCACCGTCATGCAATTGCACGTGTGGAATGCAAATGCCGACCGGCTGTGGGCAAACTAAACATACCCTAAAAACGCAAACCTAATTAATGTCTAGCGCAACGCCAAAGATAACCAAGCAAATACTTTTGTTTTGAACAATACATAAAACAATAATACGACAGTCATATGAAAGCACATTGTCCATCACTAAATCTACATTTAATGTTAATTGTTACATGTAAACCAAGTTCCAAAGCTACAATTGTTTTGGGTTGAACCAGTACCTAGGGAATTAGGTTCACCATTGTCGAATGAGAAACCATCGTCACTGTTCGGGGTAGAACCGATTGGGTCTGCAGTAGAAAAACTATCAGAACCAGACAAATCAACCACATAGTTGCCTCTGCATTGAGAAACCATTTGACTAGGATAATTGTAGCTAATGTCCGGGGACGGCCCTTTATCAGAACTATACTGATAGCTTTCACTACCTGATGGGATATTGACACATGCATTTCTACTTGGATGCAAGTTTCTTTGAGAGCAATTACGCTTTGTATGTCCATATCCGCGACACAAATGACATTGTCGACGCTTGCGCATTCCACCTTGCCTTGCTTGAGTGCCTTTTGTCTTAACAATATTTGGATCTTTCACAATATTTGTAGGACATTGGTCAGCAGTACCCAATTTCAGACTTGTCTCTTCTTCCTTTTGCCGTAAGCCTTCACAAATTCCCTCATCTACTAAACTCATTCATCAACACGGCATAACCCTCTGCACTCTTCGATGCATAAAAACAAACTTTGTTTGACATAGCATTTAAACTTCCATACCTCGCCATTTCTACAACTTCGTTGGTAGTGTCTTTACCTTTGCCGATAAATTCCGTACATGTATCAGTTTGGGCACTCTTTGTCCATCTCTTCATTATGAGTGCTGGAGGAATTTCCGTAAGGTGCTCGCACTTCATTACATAAAACAGGTGGCAACACGGGATCCCTTCACTTTCATATTTCCGGCATCCACACTCTATCCGCATATTTTCCCCACCGTGGTAAACACAAGTCCAATTATTATGCGGTTCACCATATTTGGACAATACGTATACACGACCTCCAAAATTATGCATCACATTATCATGGGTGAGTGCTGAACAAGATTCGATCTTATGACCTACCAATACAAAGCACCTATGCGTGTAAATCAAAGAAGCTTGTTGCTCTAGTTTTGTCAATGCGGTTTTAAGGACTGGTGTTGAGTACTTTGCGTTGAAACCATCCTTCGCCGTGTTATTCCTAAGACGTAACATAGCCCTATCGATTGCTGGAATACATTCAAACAACTTCACGCCTTTCCTCAAGTAATCTTTCACATACTTGTTCATGGACTCCACACGTTGAGTGGTGCACATACCACTGAAAAACTTTCCTCTCATACATGATTTAGCCTATGAGTTTCTTTTTTCATACATCATTTCCAACCATTCTTTTTGTTTCGGAGTACTCGCTTTTTCCCTCAAAACCTCCCATTTCTTCTCAAACTCGTCCAATGCAAATGGTTCCCAAATACATGCCTGAAAATTTCTTAGCAATTCATCATCCTTCAAATTATTCTGTGCATTCCTTGACACATGCCATGAGCACAACCGATGGTTAGACATGGGAAACACATCATCATGGCTTTACGCATCGCCTCATCGCCATCCGTCAATATTAATATTGGCTTCTTATCTTTCATGGATGCCATGAATGTTTCCAATAACCACTTGTAAGTTTCAAATGTCTCGTCCTGCAATAATGCGCAACCAAACATTATAGTAAACCGATAGTTGTTCGAACCGACAAACAACACTAGGGGCTTGTCATAAACATTTGTTTTGTATGTGCTGTCGAATATGAGGACGTCGCCATAGGCAATGTAATCCAAAAGTGAAGTGGAGTCTCTCCAAAACAAATTACCAAGCCTATTTTCCTCGTCAACACTGAACTTACAAAAGAATTCTGGATCCATTACTCCTTTCGCTTTCAAGTAACAGAGTGCGGCTTCTGTGTCACCGTCGAGTAAAATTTCCATGCGTGATGCATCCAACTTATTGTACAGATCCTTTATTTGAAAACCAACATTAAATACCCGCCACATTGGTCCATCATATACTCATATGTTTGACATGTTCTAAACAATGCTCTTGGCATTCCCACTTCTTGTGCTAAATCGGATTTTCTAACGACACGATTACATTGGAGATATGGCGATTCAAGTGGAGTAACTAGTTGATGATTGTGATGTGGTTCAAAATTCCTAACGACGTAAACATCACGTTTCTTCTCATAACCCACCCAAAAATGGGCAGAACAATTCTCTCTTGTAATTGCCTTTGGTGGTCGAATTCTATCTGATCGATCATTAAACTTCTCATTTCTCAAACCTTCTTTAGAACAACACCACCGTCTCCTACATACTTTCCCTTCCGAATTTCGAACCAATTTGTCTTTTCTCACGCTAAATCCAATGCCCTTTGCATAACTCATATAATATTCTTCCGCTAATTCTATCGTTTTAAACTCTTTCCCCATAACATCTTCTTTCCTCGGTGCAATCATGTCAACACCATTATCATCACTACTTTGACTAACCATATGTTCGACCGACATATGCCCACTCTCTGTTGCCGGTGCCCTGTGACTCGACCTTTCACAACCACCCAGATACCCTGAATCACTACAACCACCCTTTGATGTCTCTACACCCCTGTCCATCTTACCACGCCTCTCTATGCCTGAGAAACATAATTTCAAACTGAAATTACATTATACTCTATGTGTTAACATACTTTCTCTTAACAAAACACAAATGAATAATCTCATGCAATTGCATATAGTCAGGTCAATAATTGCACCACGTATAACTATTTCGCAACAAAAAACATGCAATTGGATCAACTTATTACCCAAAATACATTCAAGTCCTAAACCAGAAAAGAGGTTTCTTTGAAATCTTACTTGATGTTTCCATACTTTCAAAGCCTCCTCCTTGCACTTCCTTTTGCCACCAACTCAAATGTCGTCGTTAATAGCCAAGGATCTTCAAAATCTTTACAACTGAAATTCTATATCAGACAATACCAACAGAAGAAACTGAATTAATTCAAAAACTCCAATTTGGTGACCATTTCATCATGGAGGTTGGACCCACCATCAATTCCGTATTTGCATATGAGTTTTGGGCAACCAGAGAGAAGAGTTGAGGACCTCAATTCAATGAGCATTACCTTCTTGCAGATGCGTTTTGCCCAAGCACAAATAAGAGTTGGACGCGCTTAGGATGGATTTGGGCAACTGAGAGAGATGACTTCCTGGTGAAGCAGATCCAAGAGTTCTTTAGCAAGCAGAGACAGTGGGCAAACAGAGAAAAGAGTTCCTGGAGGAGCTAGGGATTGGATTTGGGCAAGCAAAGAGAAGAGTTCCTGGAGGCGCTAAGGATTGGATGGACTCTTAGAATTTTCGATTTTGCCAACTACAAGGGGAGAGCGCCCGTCTTCTTCTCCAAACCTGCGCGTTTTCTTCATCTTGCCTCTCTCTGCGCGTCTTCTTCATCCTCCAAACCTCCATTTCTTTTTCCTCACATGCAACTTACATGTTGAATAACTAGGGCTCAACAGGTTATTAAGTCATTCAATCTCAGCCATGCTTTTTTAACATGGAATCTCAGCCGTTGGATCATCGGCTGTACTGGTACAGCCGATGCACCACAGAATTTTCGCTCTAAAAGGGGCTCAACCACCATGGAAGCCTTATATACAGAGCCCAGTGCAAAAGAGGCAACACCAATGGGATCCATTTGAGTCTCTAAATCCTAGATCCCACTTTAGTTTGCCCCAGATGTAAAGACCCTCCTAGAGCCCGAATAGGCCACAATTACTGTCAAAAGCTGGCCGAAAAGTTAGCTCCATTACACTGTTTAACTTGTTTTTTCTTTTTTTTTTTTTTTTTTTTTTTTTTTTATACAAACCAACGGCTAGTGCCATGCAAAATCACTTTTTTTTACTCTTTTTTAAAAAGAAACCAAGGCTATATAGTCGTTGATAGTGCATGGTGAAAAGCTGATTTGAGCCCAACAACTCAATTTGATCAAACGGTTGTTGTGAGATATAATCTTATCATATGGAATATGGATAGATTTTCATAATGAATATGAACCAACTTTATCTACTATCATAACGTTCTGAGTAAATGAGAAAGTCATGGAAGGTCATAATGAATTAAAATCAAATTCATCTACCACCATAATTTTATGACAAAAGTAGATGAGAAAATGATAGAAGGCTACTAAATAAATGTTGTATTTTTTTTAACTTTTGTCCAAATTTTGATTTTTTTTGGTAGAAATGTTAAAAAAAAATAACATAACATAAACATACATTAAAACTAAATAAGTTAACCCAAAAAAATAGCATATAAACAAAATTACTTCATAAAAAATATAAAGACCCAAAGAGTATAGAGCCCAGCCCGCCCACCCCCCCAATTATGGGAAATATGCTTTTAGAGCCCAGAATATTTCATCATAGCTTGAAATGGGTCTCTATCTACCATTTTTAGAGCCCCATTTTGGGACTATGATTAGGCTTGCCCTTAGTCACTGGGTTTTACATGAAATTTCAATTTGGCCACTAAATTTTTTTTAGCCAAAAGCCATGCAAATGTGAAACTTTATTTTGAACTTTTTTTCTTGTCAAATCTATGTATTGACATAGTTATGGATTTAAATTTTTGTTAATTTGGGAGTACGATACTGGTTGAGATTATGATTTGAACTTTTTTGAAAAGATAGATTCACATTTTAGTGAAATTATTATATATGAACATATTTTGTCAAGATATGATTCCTTTTTTTAGCCTTGATTGATGCTACACCAATCATAAAGTTATAGCCTACGAGCAGCGTGTGCAAGAGCCTATTTGCATGGATTTTGGCACCCAAGAAAAATTCTCAATGATCAAATTGAAATTTCGTGTAAAACCTAGTGACCAAAATAGTATTTGACCCAAAAACTTGAAGGAAACTTAACATCAAGTCTATAAGGCTACATTTGGCTACAATTTTTTTTTTCTAGTGACCAAATTGAAATTTTATGTAAAACCAAGTGGCTGAAAAAGTATTTAACCCAATTTTTTATTTAAAAAAAATAATGCATTCAATGCTATATTTAATCCTAAATTATTAATGGGGATAAAATGGTCACGAAAATGTGCAATTAATGCTGCCTTAGTTTCTCATAAGAAGGAAAAAATGTAACCCAATGTGGGTGAAGGGTTCCATTTTTCTCCCTATTTTCTCATGTGCCAAACAACCATTTTCCATACCTGGACTTACCAAACAATGGAATCATTTGATTTCTCATTCCCAAGCTCCATTTCCCATAAACCAAATGTCCCCGAATTAGGGGTGAAAGGGAGTGCACAAAGTTTGCTCTCCATCCCAAGACTCGTGTGTTCTCGAAGTGGGGAACAAACACTCTGTGAAATTCCATGCATGTTTAGCTTGCAATCAACATAATACAAGTACATAAATATTCAATAATTATATGTTGGAGATTGATTACAACAGAGAGAGAGAGAGAGGAGAGAGAGAGAGAGAGAGAGGGCGAGAAATGTGTAATAAAGAGAAACTAAGCGAGCAACTTCATAAGATGTGCTAGGGTTTCAAGATGTTCTTATTTCATGTTGGTTTCATTGTAAAGTATCATTTGACACACTATATGTGTTATTTATTGATGTTTACATACACAAATTTTCTTTCCCGTCACAAAAGGTACATCTTCACATGTAGCAGAAATAAGCTTGTTCCCATAGGCCTCTGTGCATTTGTTGGTGCAGTCAGGTTGAGAACACTCGATCACAACTTCAACACCCAACGTTGGGTCTGGTGCACCCATCAAGACCACCACAGCAAACACTAGAGCCAAGCATTTCAACCCTCCACCTTCCATTTTGAAAACCCAAATGCTTTTGATATGTGTTATGAGACAAATATGTGATTGTGAAAAATGTATTTATAAGAGAAAATTGTGTTAATCCTCACCTTTTTTTTTTTTTTGGCCTTATCTTTTCCTTGTTTTCTCTCCTTTTCTTAATCACCAAATCTCATTTAAACAAAAATCCCATAAGATTTTTTAACAAAAGGAATATAATTAAAACTGCTATTATTTGTCAAATATAATCAATCTTATTGGATTAAAACTGGTAATAAATTCCATAAGATTTTTTTTAACAAAAGGAATATAATTAAAACCGCTATTATTTGTCAAATGTAATAAATCTTATTGGATTAAAACTAGTAATAAATCCCATCAGATTTTTTTAACAAAAGGAATATAATTAAAACTACTATTATTTATCAAATGTAATAAATCCCACAAGAAAAGGAGAGAAAATAAGGAAAAGAGAAGGGAAAAAAAAAGGTGAGGATTAAAACAATTTTCTCTTATAAATTCGTGCTTCACAATCACCCCACAATCACATATTTGTCTCATAACACATATCAAAAGCATTTGGGTCTTCAAAATGGAAGGTGGTGGGTTGAAATTCTTGGCTCTACTGATTGTTGTGGTGGTCTTGATGGGTGCACCAGACCCAACACTAGGTGTTGAAATTCTTGACTCTAGTGAGTGTTCTCAACCTGACTGCACCAACAAATGCACAGAGGCCTATGGGGACATGCTTATTTCTGCTACATGTGAAAACGTACCTCTTATAAGCGAAAAGCTAATTTGTGTGTGTAAGCTTAAATAAATAACACATAAAGTGTGTCAATTGATACTTAAAATGAAATTAACTTGAATAAGAACATCTTGAAACTCTAGCACATCTTATGAAGTTGCATCGCTGTGTCTCTCTCTCTCTCTGTTCTAATCAATCTCCAACAATTAATTCTTGAATATTTATGTACTTGTATTATGTTGGCTATTATGTTGGCCGCGAGCCAAAGATGCATGGAATTTCGTGGAACTGTTTTTTTCCCACTTCGAGAACACGTAAGTCTCGGGATGGAGAGCAAATGCTCCGTGCACTCCCTTGCACCCCTAATTCGGGGCATTTGGTTCATGGGAAATGGAGTTTGGGAATGGAAAATCAAATGATTCTCATGTTTGGTAAGTTCACACATAGAAAATGGTTGCTTGACACACGAGAAAATTAAGGGGAAAATGAAACCCTCCACCTCCTTGGGTTTCATTTTCCCTTCCCATGGGAAACTAAGGCAACATTAATTGCACATTTTTAATGACCATTTTATCTCCAGAGTAATAAGGAATTGAAGTCATTTCAATTAAATTGTTTACTAACTATTAGGAATCGAAATTAAAACTAAAATTGATTCCCATTAAAATTGTTATGTCCTATTTGGTTCATGGGAAAGAAGGCTTGGGGATCGGAAATCAATTGTTTTCTCATGTTTGGTAAGTCTAAGCATGGGAAATCGTTGCCTAGTACATGGAAAAGTAGGGGGAAAGTGAAGCCATCATCTCCTCTTGGGTTTTGTTTTCCTCCTCATGAGAAAGTTTGGAAAAATGAGCCATCATTAAATACACATTTTTCATGTACTATATCGTCCCTATTAAAAATTTAAAATTACAATATAGCATTAAATGCATTCTTTTTTTATTTGATTTCATATAATTGGAAAATTAAACACACTTTGTTTTACATTCCTATACAAACCAAACATGTGAAAGGAAATAAAGTGGTATTTATTGGTTACTTTCCTAGGATTACCAAACATGGGAAATGAATATCCATTTCTCATCCCTTGGGAAATGATATGGGAAGTGATTTATCCTCAAATCCGTTCCATGAACCAAACGGGACCTTACAGTGCGTTTGGATGAGGAAATTTAAAAGTACAAAGGATTTCATAAATGACGGAATTTAAAATAATGGAAATTAATGTTCTAGAATTTGTAAAGTTTCTTGTTTGGCTGACGGATTTAGGCCCCGTTTGGGATTGCTTTTTTTGGCCAAAAACCTGCTTAACTTTAAAGTTAAGCAGTTTAAGGTGTTTGGTAAAAATAAAATATCCCGATTATTTTAAAAGCAGTGGCCTTTTGACAGCAGCTTTTAAAAGCAAACTCTGGGTTGCTTTTCAAAGTTGCTTTCAAAAGAAACAGAGATGAACTTTTAATGAATTTTTTTCATTCCCAAAATACCATCATTCATTTTAAAAAATGACACCACCCCCACTTCCACATCCAACTCCACCACTTGCACCACCACATTCACTACCTTCACCACCACCACCACATCCTTCTCCTCCTCATCCTCTGCCACCACCACCACAACCACCACCTCCACCACCTCCTTCACCTCCTCCACCTCCACCACCACCACCACCACCACCACCACCACCACCACCTCCTCCTCCAAAACCTCCACATCCACTACCACCTCCACAACCAACACCACAACCACCACCATGCTGCCACTACCACCACCACCACCACTACCACAACCACCAACTCCACCTTCATCACCACCACTACCTCCAATCCATAACTACCACTACCACCACATGATTAGTACATAACACTTTTAACATCATGTCTATTTTAGTCATTATTCACAGTTACAACAATTTTATATTAAAATTTACCAAACGATTTTGACACTGCTTTTTGTACTAACAACACTTTAAAAATATTGTTTACCAAACATGGAGCTGCTTTACTTTACACCTAATTATTTTCAAAGCACAGCAGAAGCAACTTCTTTTAAAAGTGACAGCAATCCCAAACTGGGCCTTAAAACACGGAATTTAACCTTTATTTGTAAAGTTATCTTTTTTTTAAACTCAATCTCTCTTGGGATTTTAGAAATGATAACTTTTAGATAGAATTTAAAGTTGGAATTTATGACCTCCAAATTCCATGTTTTTTCCCACGCGGAATTTCTAAATTTCTATGTTTTTTTATCCAAACACGGGAATTGGTTCATGTCAATTTAGAAATTTTGAGTTTTGTCAAAATCCCAAGTTTATTTCTCTCATCCAAACGCACCATTAAGGTGAAGAATCAAAATTAAAACCAATCTATTTTTTTTTCCTTAATTTCTAAGATTTTTTTCCTAAAGTGTGAGTATTGTATGGTTTATCGATATTTTTTTTGTCCTATTTAAATAATAGTATTAAATAGTTGTTTAAAAACAATAAGAAATATGAATAAAAAAAATTTAAAAAAATTTCATCCTCATCTTCTTCCCCAAACCCTAGCACCCACCATCTCCCCACCGCCACCCATCTCCACCCCACCCTAGCATTGATGCTGCTCATCCCCTCTTTTTTCTCTCTCCCTCTGTCTCTCTTCCCTTTCACTCTCTTTCCCCCACTATCTTATTCCTTTTTCTCTTACCTTTTTAGTCATTGGGTTTTACACGAAATTTCAATTCACTAAGAAATAAATAAATAAATAAATAAGTGGCCAAAATCTATGTAAGTGCAATGCTCTTGCACACGCTGCTTGTAGGCTAAAAATTTATGGTTGTTGTAGCATCAATTAAAGCTAAAAAACGAATCATATCATGACAAAATATGTTCATATATAATAATATCACAAAAATGAAAATCGTTCTTTTCAAAAAAGCTCAAATCATAATCCCAACCAGTATCATACTCCCACATTCACAAAAATTTAAATCTATAACTATGTCAATACATAGACTTGACCCCAAAAAAAAGTTCAAAAAAAAGTTTCGTATTTGCATGGCTTTTGGCTAGATTTTGTTTTAGAGGTCAATATGAAATTTAATGTAAAATTCAATGACTAAAAAGTTAATTAACCTAACAACTTGATGGAAACTAATCAAGTCTAAAAATTGTAAAATTTTGATAATACAATAACCAATTTGGCTAAATTTGTTTCTCAGTAACCAAATTGAAATTTCATGTAAAACCTAGTGACTAAAAATGTATTCAACCCTTTTAAATATTTTTATTCCCAAAACATGTTAAACGTTTTGTTACCAATGACATTTATTGTCATTTATTGTGTGGTTTGATAAGCACAATTCGGAGTAACGAGGAATTGAAGTCATTTCAATTAAATTATTTACAAACGGTCACGAATCAAACTAAAAATTAAAATAGATCCCATTAAAACTGTTATTGTGAAGAATCAAAATCAAAACCAATCTATTAATTTTTCTTAATTTCTAAGGCTTTTTTCATAAGGTTTGAGTATTGTATGGTTTTTTTATATTTTGTGCCCTATTTATGTGCTTACATGTATAAAGCCCTTAAAAATCAATTACACAACATTATAAAATTGAAATAAAAGTGAATAGGGAAAGGGGCTTTAAACGTGCGGCATATTGTTTCAATTTGGGTAAAACTGAATTTAGGGTTATAGGTGGAAATCAATTCGCAGAAGTGGGGATTCTTGGGGGTTTCATAGTATTCAAATAATCAATGCTCTCTCTGGCTTCGTCTTGGCTCCCTGATGATTGGCATGATGCTTGGTGGCTTTAGGGGTGATGATGAGTAGGTTTAGACTTGGCTATGTAATGGAGGTTTAGCAGTTGACTTGGTTCTGTGTTTGTTATCTAATCTGCAACATTTTCGTAATGGTTTTGATGTGTCTGTGAAACACATCAATCTCTCAATTGAATGGCCTAATACTATTGATAAACAAAAAGCGGGAAAAACATATAAAAGAAAGAGGATCCCAGTATATAAATGTAAAGCGTATAGCTGATCGGCTATATTATTTTTTAATAAAATTAAAAAAAAGAGCCAAGTAATGCGAGGCTATACTATTTCTTTTATATAAAAAAAAATTGGAAAAAGTGCGTATAGCCGAGCGGCTATACGATTCCTTTAAAAAAAATTTAAAAACCCACGTATAGCCAGGCGGCTATACTATTTCTTCCATAAAAAATTTTAAAAGTGTGTAGCCATGTGGCTATACTATTTAATTAAAAAAATTTGACAAACCAAGTATAGCCGCGCGGCGCGGCCATACTAATTCTTTTAAAAAATTAAAAAAGTGTATAGCCGCGCGGCTATACGAATTCTTTTAAAAAATTAAAAAACAGAGTATAGCCGCGCGGCTATACAATTTCTTTTGAAAAAAAAAGGGGGACAAAATACACAAATTGAAGTTCTGCATAACATCTCAAACTAGAAAGTCAATAGTAAAACAGAGTACAGTTACCGGCAGAGGGCCAAAACCAGCTATGATAAACATCACTTTAATAATGCTGCATAGCTCCAAGCCTTAATATAATTAACTAGAGCAAGGAAACGCCAACTGCACCTGCAATCTGAAAAAATTAATTAGCAAAGTGGAAACAAAAAACCAATTGCAATAGCAAAAATAAAATCCAAAACTACTGAAAATTTTCTGCTTTAATAAACGCTGCATGTACAACACAGAATAATTTAAACTCACAGTGCTCCTCCATATATAATAAGTAGAAAAATTCGACAAAAATGAATAAATAAAGAAGAAACATTTAAGATCCAGAAAATACAACAGCGCTGTTGAGCATACTTGATACATACCAGGCCAGCTGCTAGTTCCTCCACCATGGGCTGGTTGATTTTGAGCATGCTGTGGTAGTCTAGGAACTGGTGTCGGCCATCATGGGAGCACAAATTGGTAGAAGTAACTATTAACATTAATATCACTCTCAAATGAAGCTACTTTGGACCACCTTCTTGTAATAATGTTGCACACCACTATATGTCCGTTGACATTCAGATACAAGCTATCCTCATCATTCGGGTCAAAAGCTATCAGCTCCACCACCAGATCATCATGATCTGTAAACATTTGGTCCAGTGGATAAACCGTTTTCTTGTGTTTGAAGCACAATTTGGCGGCTCCATCGACCACCAACATATCACAATGATCTTCTTCCTCTTTCAACTCCCAAAAAAATAGAGTATTGCTTGCCCAAACGCAGACACCCTCGGAACACACCAAGGCACTCAGCTGAACAACAGCCCATGGCTGGTTCATAAACATCATCAAAAGACAGAAAGTGACATTTATAAGAATCAATGCTAATATCGTAGTTACACAATTAAAACTTACTCCGGAAAATACAACTGAATCTCTCCATTCACCAGTCACAAAAGAGAAGATCTCCATGTGGAATTTGAATAATTTGACAGAATTATCATATCCGTCATCATCTGAAACTGAAAAAAGATCAGGAAGGAGAATTCTGACAACCCTGCAGCTATAATCAGCATTGACCTGGACGCTGCATCCTTTGCTGAGGTGGTCCTCATCGTCATCCTTGTAGTTATAATAGGGAACATCGCAGATCAGTCCCACGAGTACTTTCTGTTGGCGTCGAGGAGGGGGAGGGAGAGCAACCCATTGAGTGGTGTATGGATTGCAGATGTAGTAATGGAGTTGATACCAGTGGCTTGCACAGCATAAAACTAAGTCGTTATACGCCCCTACCACAACTGGCTCTTCTTTCAAACCATGGAACCTTATGATCTTTTTGAACTCCGGAGTTAGCAGCTTCCCGGAAGACAATATTCCGGGAAAGAGAATATCTATATAACTCTAGGACAAAAGTGTAACAAACTCCATTAAATAGTTAAAACGGGTTGGATCAGAGTTTTATTGGCAATGGAAAATAAAACAAAATCTTTTCAAAATGAAAATTTACATTACCTCAAGCTCGAGGTTACAAGTTTGTTGTAGAGTAAACTCACATTAGTTTACATGAAAAAAATATTCTGAAACCGCAAGTAATAGTATAAATACAAAACTATAGTAGGGGTCCAATCTCGCCAAGATGGAGATTGTTGTGATTGGTTCTCCATTTAGCGTGAAGTGTTGGAAGCAAGAAAACAAGACTATAGTAGGGGTCCAATCGGTCTCCATGTTTTGGGTGACCAGCAGCTTCTTAGAGCAACTCTACCCATTTGCCCTTAGCCATGGCAAGGGGGGAGCTAGGGCAGCCACTATTCACGTGAATAGTGGTTGCCCTTGCAAAATCCGAATTTTGTGTTTCCACCCGTTGCCCTTGCTAAGGGCAGTTACTATTTATTTTTTTGTTTTATTCACAACTTTTTTTACCTCAGTAATTAATTTGGATAAGATTTTCGGATAAGATTTTCGGGTTCCTACGTGTCAATACTATTCATATATCATAATCGGATAAAATTTTCAATTTCAAATTTCAGATAAATTTATATAAAAAAAAAGGCTGGTATTTATAGAAAAAAATTCATTAATTTTGGGTATTTTTTTAAAAATTTTCCGAATTTTTTCCAGTATTTTATTGCAAAAAAATTGGCTGCCGTTGGATTGGAGGAAAAAATAAGATCGGAGAGCCCAGACGACGCCACGTGGCAACAGGAAAAAAATAAAATCAGCGAGGTACTGTAGCAGTACTGTAGCAATACTGTAGCACTACAGTAACCCCCCTCGTTTTGGACCTCAGGCAGAAGTTGCCTTCGGGCCAGCCCGGGTTTGGTGGGTCCCACACCTCCCCCGGGCCTAGGCTGTCCGCTGGAACACCTTTCCCCCCCCCCAGCCTCGGGCTGGGCTTTACCACTAGAAGGGCTCTTATGGATTGTGCAGGCAACATAAACCAAAGAAAATAATCATGATATCATGGCATGCAGCCTCAATATCAAGTCAATTTTATCGAGCTACATAATTAGTGGATGAAATCAATTGACCTAAAGAGAAAATATGCATAAGATGATCTGGACTGGTCGACAGTGGCGGAGCCACTCCTAGACCTGGAGTGGCCCTGGCCCCCCCATATTTTTATCACTCCTCTATTATATTATATATAATATATAGAATTTGTAATAAACAACTTAAAATTTAAGTTAAAATTTCCTCTAAAACAAATTAGACATTACTCAATTAAAAATATTTAGCTCTAAACATGTAAGTATTGAATACTTAGGTGTTTTATATACTTGTATTTTTTCCTTCGGCCCCCCACAATTTTACAATTCTAGCTCCGCCCCTGCTGGTCGAAGGAACTTTTGCAATCATCATGCAGGATTTTGATGAAAGCTAACTTTTTAATAGATTTAGAAAACCAACTTTTCAGTGAAAACTCAGGTTTTAGTCAATGAAACAGTTGCCACCAATTCTATAGCACTTTCATTCTTTTTTAAAAATACCAGCTAGTTGCTAGTTCCTCCACCATGGGCAAGACACGTAAATATTTAGGTGAGACATAAAAGGACTTCACTATATAGAAGGTCTAAAATAACAGGCTAAGGTCCCGTTGGGTCTAGATGAGGTAAAAAAACAGCGAGTAGCCTAAGAGCTCAGCAGTTAACCTCAACCTTATCCAGAATTCAAATGTAAACCCCATAAATTGATTTCACTATCATAGAAGTTATCTCGGTGATCACCGGATCTCCACAGCCTTATGAAGGGATCATCTACCACCTGGAAGGGGAAGCAATCTTTTACGTACAGAATCTTATGTAAGATATAGATTAAAATGAACATTTACATTACGCCAATCCCGAGGATACAAGTTTGCTGTAGAGTAACCTCACATTAGTTTACAAGAACCACAACCTTAATAGTATTAGTAGGCAAGCATATTTACAAGTGATATAACAACACAATTTACAAGTGATATAGCAAAAAAATTTACAAGGTTAAAGAAATAGGGTTGCCTTCATGTGCAAGAAAGGATCTACAAGGTAGCGGTTTCAAACATTTTTTTATCTTACTAGAACTTTTCGCATGCTAGAGATTGGTTGGACAACCTCCGCACTTGAGGTGCATTGAGGCAAATGGTCATTTGTCAAGGTGAAGGTTTCTTGAATATTGTGAGAATGGTCTTCAAGAGTATTAAGAGAACCTAAAGGTACAATTGTCATGTTTGGTTGATGGCTCGCCAAAGTGGAGACTGTTGTGATTGGCTCGCCATTTAGCATGAAGTGTTGGAAGCAAGAAAACAAGACTGTAGTAGGGGTCCGACCGGTCCCCATGTTTTGTGCATGTTTCAGAGCAGCAACAAAAAATGAAATCATGATATCATGGCATGCAGCCTCAAAAAGCATTGAAAGTACAAGAATCTATGGCACATTGATGGAAACATTTGTGTAAGACGCATTGGGGAACATGGGCACAAAATTTTACAAAAAATTTGTTGAGCTAGACTAACTGAATTTTAAGCAGATACACTACTCGTTGATTCGTGTCTTCAGAACGGAAGTATGCAAGTATGAAAGAAGAAAACAAGTCATAACAAAGAGACAGATGCAGTAGTAAGTGTAGGTAGCGATGGAGTAATAATAGCATTATCTGTCCAATTCTTTTCGCCCCAGTGCCGTAACATGTTCTTCCAGGAGCAGAATTCCTCAAAGCATGTCTTCAAACGATTGTCTTTTATCTTAATTTTCCAGTGGCCGTCAGTGTAATTTGCTTTCTCGGCTTGCCTCCGATCCCACTCTAGGCCTGCCTTCTGCTCTGTCCGGAGCAAGCAGAAGTTTTGCAAGTTCTGGGGCATAGCATCATGCACTTTCCACCACCTTTTATGTGCAACGTCACTAGCAAACTCCTGCATAAAATCCACATTCCAGTTGCAGTCATAGTCACGGAAGCATAGCCATGGTTTATTGCCCAGATAATGGAGGACATAGAGGATTGGAGGGTCAGCTTCGAAGAGGCTAGTTTTCATCTGCTTTATCTCCGGCTCATCACCTTCCCAGAAATGTTTCAAGAAGTTCATATGCTTTGGGATCCTGTGCCACCATGTAAATATCTCATTGAGATATCCCTGATCCCCACCGTTGTAAGATACAATTTCATTGACATGATCCATGAGCAGCTGGAATGTACAATTGATGGTTCCACAACCATCACACCTGAGTTGAACAAACTAGCATCATTTCCTGTGGCAGATATTTCTGGCATCTGAAACAGGAAATCAATATTTCGAAGTATAAGCATGTCTGCATCAATGAAAATGATCTTGTCATAATCCGTCAACTGCCAAAGACGGAATTTGCTGTAGTTCCATTCATTGTACGCTTCTGGTTCAGCTTTAGGGTTCCTGATTCTTTGGATTGTGTGGATCTTCCACCCAGCAGCCTCCAATCCCCCTCGATGATACTCGGTGATTGTTTCATCTACCAGTATGACAAGATCTCGTGTTGAACCAGCCATTCGGATGCTCTGAGCTGCTGCAATGGCTCCACAAACATATACATGGGCAGAGTGTAGGATTGTCGCATATGCTTCTCTGTGGGCTTTTTGGGAGTTAACATGTTCTGTATTATAAGGTGTAATGCAGTTCAAGCTCAGTAAAATTTGAAAGTAACCATGAGTTATATTTGCTTACTTGTGGGATGCATTCAAAATGTGGAATTCATTCACAATGAACTCATTTCCACATTTTGAAAATTTCCAAAACACCAATGTTTGAAAAAATAAAAGCGAAAACAGAAAGAAAGATTAATGGTAAAGAGGTAGATCAGCAGCTTTCATTGCACAAAGCAAATGACTCAAAAGAAAGTTCAAATGTTGAAAAGAAATATTTGATAAACCAACACAAGATACTAGTTTGAATCTGACCTTTAGCCTTGAGAGGAACTGCAAGTTCACATGACCCTACAGGGAGCTGTAACTTATCTCTCAACGTATTCGGGTTTGGTTCATAGAGCCATGTATTCCCTTCACGTCTAACAAGATCCTTGCAAGTGAATAAATTTGGGATTGGGAAACAGTCAGTCACCAAAAGCACACGCATAGGGTGATATCCGTTGGAAGAGGCAGCCAGCCTTGCTGCTTCAAGCTGCAAGTGCAACCGAGCCACATCTCTTGACCAGCTGCCTGACTTGTTGCAGGGAAGCTTGACAGCAACCAGATCAAGACGTGGTTTTCCAGGAATTTGAAGCTTTGGTAGAGAGGGACAAGTAGGGACTTCGGACTCTTGTTCTTCATCTATCCATTCAGGATACAGGGATTCCCATGTTATGTTATTTGCCGCATAGTTGAGGTTTAGAACAACATGTTCACAATCTGGCAAGAGCTCCTTCCAATGGTCAATCTCATTGTGGTTAAAGTTTAATAGCCCAATTCCCAGATTATCTTTTCTGTCAGTCAGGTTTTCAATAAAACCAGAAATTTCATTCCAGTTAATGTTTAAAGATGATACGTAACGTAAATCTGCAGCAGCACTCTTTTTCGTCCATATGTGTTGATAAGTTAGCCTGCAGGATATAAACTTGTGTTACAAATGTTGCCACGGGAGAGAGATCGAGAAAGAGCAAAGGAGAACAAAAGAAAAGAACAATGCTCTTTAGCCTGTTAGCTACTAAGATGACTTTTCCAGTCCAGACAGAGAAAAGAGACTGCAGTGCTGACAAAATAGTTTCCCAGGATGAGAAATTTTGAAGGACTCAACATCAGAAAATAAATTGAAGGTTGAAGCAAGAAACTATCTAACCGTAACCTAATACCACTCAATAAGAAGAGAAATCAAGGTGATCAGCTCATAGGACATACTGAGATACAGAAGTGGATAGATGATCTGTATTATAAACAGCAGAAGAGAGGAAGAGCGTCACAAAAGTCCCAAATACAAGAATGATCAACACAAGCTTCAAGGTAGGCTTGCAATTCAAGATTCTATCTGTAGCATGAACGTGGAGAGCCTTTTCAATATCTTTAAGAACTTTATTTCTCTGGGACCTTCTTTTGTTAGCATCTTCACTGAAACAAAAAGGGATTTATAACAACATCAGCACATGTCTGAATGGCAAGAGAAAGAAAGTACAAAGAGCAACAAAATGGAATGGGAAAAACTAAATAAAGTAGTAAATAAGTGAATGCCATTGGAAACAATCTCAGAAAGACAAACAAATGTTACGCAATCAACTCGGTCGTTGTAAATGCATTGCACATTGATATGTCTATGCGGAAACAGCACAAATTTGAAGTGTCCTACATCCCATTAGGCAGATTACAAAGAAAAGTTATAAATATCATTTGCAAACTAGTTTAGCAATATCCCAAGAATTCGATAATGAAATCTCACGCACCATGACCATCAAACAGTAGCTAAATACATGGAATGGCAGATCCTCACCAAAATATTTCACACAGTGCAAATTGTAGTCTAATTATTGGCAAGACTCATCACTTAATCAAAAAACGTTCAAATTTACAATACAAACTTTTCGAGACCCACTATTCATCCATGTTCATGGACCCAATTTAATGCCAACATAGTAAATTTTGCCACAATTTAAAAGGTCTAGGCTTGACCTGTATACATATACATATATATAATTTAGCAGGAACCCATCTAATCAAACTGGTAAATGAACACTTAAATTTTGAACCAACAGAAGCAGAGATGTATAGGAAGACTTTTCTTACATGCTTATTAATCTGATATCCAAGCAAAATGAAGTCAAATTACACTAAAGCAGAAAGAAAAATAACAAAAACTAAAATTTTAAAGAGAGAGAAACTGACTTCGCTGAACCAGATAAGCGGTGTCTGGGTTCAACTGGACTTGGGGATGGTCCTCTCATCTTTGCTCATTCGGTTTGAGGTTTGAAGCATGTGGGCAGACACCATCTGATTCTGATATCCTGATTTGATATAAATAAAGAAAAAAAAACTGTGAATTTGAAAATAGAAAAAGGAAAACAACACTTGCAGACAGCGCATTTGAGAAGCCGAAGGCGGTTGGTCAATTCAAGAATGAGGCCTGCTTACCTTCTGGGTCTTATTCTGTCTTTTGGTTGTACCTTTTCGGGTCTTTATTCAGCTCCAGTCCAAGTTTTTACGCGAAGTTTTTTTCTGCATGTTTGAAGAGCTTTTACGCAATCGTGATGAATGATGAAGAGGAGGCACAAATACAAAGCAAACCAGTTTCTGCAGCAAAATTCAAAAAAAAATTTGATCGTTCACGCAGCCTCGCCATTCCTCTGTTTGACCAAAATGAAGACTTTGTCATTGTCGCTGCTTAACCAGCCTTCAAGCATTTTTAACAGTACTTTCGAAGCCACGTAAGTTAGGATGTTTCGTCACCATCAAAAAACTTTTTGTTTTTCATAATCATGTTTTCTGTCACCATCATTTTCTAGTTTTACATTCCTTTGTTATCGGATAATGCTTCTCTCCTATTAGCTTTTTTTCTCCCATAAAACTGATATGCGAACCCTTTTTTTATACAAATTTATAAATAAACTCAATCCTAGACATGTATTTATAAAAAAACTCAAGCACTATTTAAACATAGAAACACACTCAAAATCAATAATTGTATATTTTTTGGGTGGGTTTATAAATGGGTTTTGAGTGTGTGTAATGATGGGTTTTTGGTGTGTTTATAAAGTGTTTTGAGTGTTAGGTTTTTTTTATAATTTCAGCCTCCATTTTGGGTGTTTTAGTGAAACTCCCTTTTTTGTATATCTATTTCTCAAAATAAAAAAATTCTTAAATGAATTCCTTTAATTTTTCTACCGAAGTCAAAATTTTAAGTCTTTTTGTGACCCTTTCCAACTCCAGCGACAACAACCCCACTTCAACCAAAGTTACCACTGACAACGAAATGAAAATACATTTACCAGTTCCAAAACAGTAAATTAGAGTAATCTCATTGACCACAAATGACAATCATTAAAAAAAACAAGGGCTCATTAGATTTAGGTGCAAAAAGATTAACTGCTATTGGTTTTAGTCTAGGAGTTTTTGGTTTTAAATGTAGGTCGTTTGACATTTATTACTTTTTTTGTTGTGTTGATTTTACACTTTGAGGTAAATAGGGGAAACACATTAAAAGTCTAAATTTAATGCATTATTTCCTTCATAATATTTACCTAATATATTATTAAAATACAATTTAATCAATGAAAAGTAAAGACCCACATATTATACCAATCGATTAGACAAGCACCCACATGAAATTATGTACATGACATACAGGTAAATAGTGTTATTATTAGCAATTAAAAAAACTTAGTGATAAATTGTGTTACCAATAAGTTATTAACATAAATTAGAAGACTACCTATAAGTCATATACAAAAATAGAAAAATAAAATTGTATCTTACCTTATAAAAAAAATAAAAAATAAAAAATAAAAGGTACATAAAATACTATTACACATTTTTGAAAATATGAAGAAAAAAAAACACACACACACACACATATATATATATATATATCAATAGGCAATATGACAATATACCTACACCATAGGATAATATACCTACAAGAGTATATAATATAGCAAAAATAAAAATAGTTATTTTATTGTATCTCCAAAAAAATAAATTGTCCTAAAAGTATGGGATTTACTAACCTATGTATATCCTATATTAAAATCATAATAAAATCTTGTAATTATTGTCCTATAAATCAATTTCTACACAGTTTATACTTTAGTGGTATAATAAGAACTATATAATTTTATAAAAATAATAATAATATATCTACATTAGAAAATACTATAACATCTCACATCGACCAATAGAAAGAGGAGATGTCTTATATATACATGCTCACCTCCATCTAGCACGAAGCCTTTTGGGAGCTCACTGGCTTCGGAGTCATGGAAACTCCGAAGTTAAGCGAGTTTGGACTAGAGCAATTCTAGGATGGGTGACCCATTAGGAAGTTGCTCATGAGTTCCCAGAAACAAAACCATGAAGGCAGAGAGGGGGGCCCAGAGGGGGGCCCAAAGTAAACAATATCGTGCTACGGCGGAGCTGATCCCGGAATGTGACAATTTAGTATCAGAGCCACTCTGTCATGTGGTGCGAGTGTATCGACGAGGACGTCGGGCTCCTAAGGGGGGTGGATTGTAACATCTCACATCGACCAACGGAGAAGGGGTAATGTTCTTTATATGTACATACTTGCCTCCATCTAGCACGATGCCTTATATCAATGACAACAAATGCGAGGATTAAACCCAACTTATGTTCTAAATTTTGAACTTATCCCAAATTTTCTATAAAAATAAAATATATATATTCCCTTATCAATAATTTTTCTATGCTGAACAACATGTACAATAAGTATGCAATTTTGAGAATTTAAAATTTAAAAAATTTTTTAAAAAAAAGACACATCAATTTGTGGTTGAATCACATTGCCTAAATGAGGAGTTCATCCCTTCTTTTTCCTCATTTCTGGAGTTAGTTGATAAAAATAATAGCTGGTTAAAGTGGGGTTTTCAAAGGAATTAAAGAAAAACAGAGGTGACAATGGTGTGATAGACACTTAGCGTTCAATTATAGTAATTATACTTAATAACAAATAGTGGTTATCACTTTAACCTCACTGTTTTCACTCATTTATGTTAATAAGATTTATTTGGTGAAGGGTTTATGTTAATTAATGACATCTTAACCAAAACCAAACAACCTTGATTTAAAAAAATTAAAAACAAAACCAAACCACCAAGCATTGTCTGTTTATTTGACCACACAAAAAAAATCATCATTGTCAGGCATTGGGGTCGTATTAGTTCATTATTTTATTGCGCAGTGTAGTTGGTGGTAGATGATTGTGGTCAAGAAAGTTAAGAAATGTGCTTACTTTTCTAAGATTTGAAGAATAATAATGGCAAACTTTTCTGTCGTCCACAACTCCCTTCAAACAGAGAAACTTTTGGTAGGTTAGAGGACACCTTATATGGAGAAATTCTCAGATTAAAGTTTGGGGTGGCCAAAAAATATAGTTGTGAACAAAACACAAAAAGAATCTATAAATTTCTTAAAGAATATCCTATTATAGATTAATTCATCAGTTACCACTACATAATTTCACAAGTTAAATCGCCTATTTCGTAGTCCACCAGATCAAGACAACGGCAGTGCATAAATTTCTGTAAATTTAGCAGACCATGACAATGGTTGGCAAACTGGTATCGAAATCCCGGAACAGTAATAAGAACTGGTAAAAAGAAACCAAATCAATTGGAAATTTAGAACAAGACACTAGCCAACATAAGAAAGGCCAAGGCCACTTTAAAGATGATTAGAAATTACGATATCACTTCATACAGCCTCAAAAAGCATTGAAAGTGCACAAATCTATCCCGCCTTGATGGGGAAATGGGTATAAGATGTATTATGAAAAAATGAGTTGAGCTAGATACTAAGTGAAGTTTAAGGAGATACACTTTTCTTTCTCACATTTGTAGGCATGAACTACGTGTTGACTTGTGTCCTCGGAATGAAGTATGTAAGTAAAAGAAGAAAACAAGTCACGAAGAAGATACCGAAGAGGTAGTAAGCGCAGGTGGTGATGGAGTAACAGTGGCATTATCTGTCCAATTCTTTTCACCCCAGTGCCATAACATGCTCTCCCAGAAGCAGAAATCCTCAAAGCATGTCTTCAAACGCTTGTCTTTTATCTTAATTTTCCAGTGACCATCAGTGTAATTTGCTTTCTCAGCTTGCCTCCGATCCCATTCTAGTGCTGCCTTCTGCTTGGACCGAAGCAAACAGAACTTTTGCAAGTTCTCTGGCATAGCATCATGCACTTTCCACCACCTTTTATGTGCAACATCACTGGCAAACTCTTGCAAAAAGTCCACATTCCAATTGCAGTCATAATCACGGAAGCAAAGCCATGGTTTATTACCCAGGTAATGGAGGACATAGAGGATTGGAGGGTCAGCTTCGAAGAGGCGAGTTTTCATCTGCTTTATCTCTGGTTCATCACCTTCCCAGAAATGTTTCAAGAAGTTCATATGCTTTGGGATCCTGTGCCACCATGTAAATATCTCATTGAGATATCCCTGATCCCCGCCGTTGTAAGATACAATTTCATTGACATGATCCATGAGCAGCTGGAATGTACAATTTGATGGTTCCACAACCATCACACCCGAGTTGAACAGAGTAGCGTTATTTCCTGTAGCTGATATTTCTGGCATCTCAAACAGGAAGTCAATATTCCTAAGAATAAGCATGTCAGCATCAATGAAAATGATCTTGTCGTAATCAGTCAACTGCCAAAGGCGGAATTTGCTGTAGTTCCATTCATTGTATGCTTCTGGTTCAGCTTTAGGGTTCCTGATTCTTTCAATTGGGTGGATCTTCCACCCAGCAGCTGCCAATCCTCCTCGATGATACTCACTGATTGTTTCATCAACAAGTATGACAAGATCTCGTGTTGAACCAGCCATACGGATGCTCTGTGCTGCAGCAATGGCTCCACACACATATACATGGGCAGAGTGTAGGATTGTTGCATATGCTTCTCGGTGGGCTCCTTCCGAGAAAAAATGTTCTGCGTGCAAGTATTTAGGTCATCACTTATCAAGTATGCTGCAATTATTACATCAGTAAAATTTCCAAAATAACCATGACTTATATTTGCTTTCTTGCGGGATGCAATCAAAGGCACTGGACCGACCACATATGAATTACTTAATGTAGTCTGAATTTAAAAAATATAAGGACCTACACCAATTTATTCACCAACTGATGTTCAGGATGGTCAGGTGGTCAACTTTAATATTTATCATTGAAGTAGCACATCTCCTTACCACATGACAGACACGATGCA